TAGAGAGCAGGGTCCTCACCATAATACGGTTTGTGCGCCAATTTTCATTCGTGCGTTAATCAAGCCAAATAGTTTGGCCAAATATTCGGCTATTCAGCCACACTCCTGGCTGAATATACCATTCGTTGCAACACTATAAAAAATACATTTTTTATTCTAAAATGACTGTGTTTTCTTCAGTACTTTCTAATAAGATGATCCCAAATTTAAAAGTAAAATTAGGGGAACTAATTTTTTTTAAATGCTTTAAAACCAAAGTGCACAAGTGACAAAATTAAGGTGCGAACAAGAGTTAATGATCATTCCTGTTGGGAATATCTTGTAACTTCGTTGAGTGAAGATTGTTATTACAGTGTTTCTCGACCTTTCTGAGCCCACAGAACATTATTCGTAGACTTTTTATTACATGGAGCATTAGCATTGATATATTCAAAAATTGAGAAAGAGTGTCATGTTTGTTGTGCTCAGAAAACAATGAAGCAATAAACTAATAAACTTCAATGTATTGTGGCATAGTAAACACTAGTATTGTGTTTTATTCCAAAGACACGTGGCAAATTTTCCATCAAATTCCTTTATTAGTTGAGTCAACTCAACTAATAAAGGAATTTGATGGAAAATTTACCATGTGTCTTTGGAATAAAACACAATACTAGTGTTTACTACGCCACAAATATAAAACAGGACACTGTTTCAAAAAACAAATTTAATGTATTGAATAAAATAGAAACATGGAATTGTCTACAGATATGATAATATATTGTAGTACATTGGAATAAATTTGAAATATAAACTTTAAAACAATTTTTGCAGGTTTGCAGAACACCAGGTTATCTGTCAACTCTTGACGGTCATCGATAGTCATTTTGTTGCCATGGGTGCCATTTTCCGGCAAAATATGTCTATTCTGTTCTATTAGCTAAGCAGCACTTACTTGGGTGCTTATAGATTAGCCTATAATTGGAGCATTCATATACTTTGATCAAGCTTCTGATTTCTACATTTGTAGTTATTTAAATTTTAAAAGTAATATTTTGTAATGTTAGATGGCACATTTCATTTAAATTCTGACTTGTTGTGAAATGACATAGCAGACAGTTATTTTTTTGTCTTAATATAGTTTACTCTTATTTATAAATAATAATAATGAGTAAAAGTAAAGCGCAAAGCATGAGGCATAAAATAAATAGTTCATTTTTAAGTAGTTTGATCATCACCACCCCTTGTTTACCATGTTAATTGGTAATAGGAGTGTACACGATGTTGCATATATATCAGTATAAAGCTATTAATCATAGAATTAATTATAAGTGGACTTGTAATCTATCAGTATGAACAGTTTGTAATTATAATATCATAAGTATAGCAATTATCATGATTTATTGTGCATAATTATCCTGCATAAATTGCTACAATGCATGACCTGTACCTGCTTTCAAATTGACATTAAAACACACTAACCCATACATTATATATATGGGGAAATTTTATATATTACAGTATAATTATGGTATGTAAAAATAACCGTAACTTAAATCCTATTATTGTTTAGTTCTTGTATTGAAAATATTTGCAATACATGTGACAGGAAACTGCTTTCTTATAGAAATAAAGTACAGAGTAAACCTTTACTGTAGTGAAGAGTCCTAAAAATATAGAGAAATATTTGTAATACCTACATGCATACTGCTAACAGCAGGTTTGATTAGAGTCTGGTCAAAACCTCCAAAATTTTCTTATTTTGGTATTTTGGTCTCAGTCTTAAGCTCGGTCATCATGCAAGTTTAGTGGATCCCACAGTGATTACAAGAAAAGTTTTTGATATCCTATGGCAGAGAGTTTAGAAATATGCATTTATATACTAACAAACATCCAAAAAAGTTAGTAATTATATAGGATTTTGTTCTATGGCATCACAACTAATGCTAAAGATGGCGTCATTTGCTGTTTGAGATTATCGAGTTATGTTGCAATTATCATTATAACTTCCTTTTACCTTCTGAAACAATGACTCCCAATTTTTTTTACCTATAGAATTTTTAGTATTCTTTTTGTAAGTTTTAATAACATGAAGATTTTATTTTATTCTTGTTCCTGCTTTTAATCACTACCTTTATGATTACTGCCAAAGAATTCAAGCCTTGCATGCACTGGATTACTTCATTTAGTGTCATTCTGTTCTTATATCAGTTACTATATTTTNTAATGTACTCCAACCCCTCCTCAGTGCTAGTTCAAATAAACAAGAAATATTAAAACATGACCATGTTATACCATAGAAACAAACTAAATCATAAAAAAAAATTATTTTTATATTATTGTAGTAATAGCCTTAAAAATTATAACATTTGTTTGGCCCCATCTTTGACCAATAAAATTTCACAGAATATACACAGATATATTGATAACAGTAGTATTAATAATATGGATTGCCTAAAAAAAGCTGGCATTGTATACAGGTTGGAATGTGATTGTCAAAATCCGTATATGTACTGGTACATACGTAAAACAGGGCACATGTTAGATGTTAGAATAAAAGAACATGAAGTGGCCATCAGATTAAAGTACAATAATTCGCCGTGGTATGATCATACAAATAACAATAATTGTAAAATTAACCGTAATAATATAAAAATTTTGCATTTTGAAAAAGGTCTTTATAAAAGAAAATTTAAAGAGCATTTAGAAATAAGGAAACAAATAATTTAATAAATAACTCAGATGGTATGAAAATTGATTACTGCTAGTATGAATTAATAGATGGTGCTAAAACAAGTTAAAACATGGTATAATTATTTGTAAAAAATCTTCCATAGTAATTCTGATACTGGTATATTTTTAATATTGTCTGTGTATCAAAACAACTTTTACATACATATGTCAATTTTTACTGTTAACAATTTTTTACTACATCTGTTATATACCCATGTGTAAAAAAATTTAAATGATTGAGTATAATGGAAGTTCATTTGTTGGAAGTTATGGTGGTTTTAATTTTAGATGTATATTAATACGGAATGCACAATTTTATGGTTAAATAAAGGTTAAGGATGAGGAAGGTTTGCCCTCCCAATCCCTATTTTGAAAACAAAAAGAATATTTTGTAATTTACATAATGTGGAAATGTAAGTGTTTTTTATGATTTAGTTTGTTTCTATGGTATAACATGGTCATGTTTTAATATTTCTTGTTTATTTGAACTAGCGGAGGGGGTTGAGTACATTATACCAACCCGAAATATATTTGTAGTTCAATGGAAAATAAAAAATAATTTCTTAACCAGAAAGTGCTGTGAGATACATCTACCAAAGTGTTTTTTTTTTGTTTTGGATTACAGAGACGGATTTACATTTGTAATATACCATACAACAAGCCATTTATATATTAATATTACACAATGGATTGTGACAAGCAACCAAAACCAACTGCAAAAGGTGGATTGCATCCAAAAAAAGTTAGTGGGATATATCAGGTATAATTCACTTTGAGCTATTAAAACCAAATCAAACAATTACAATTCAAATATATTGTGAGCAATTAGAGCATTCAAGTGAAAAATTTTAAAAGTTGACCAATTAACAGAAAGCAGGTTTTCTTGCAGCATGCCAGACCACATGCTGCAAAAATAACTGTGCAAAAACTCTAAAGCTACAACTGGGAAATTTCACCTCATCTGCCAGATATTGCTCCCAGTAATTATCACCTTTTTTGTAGTTGCAGAACTTTTGAGGATGAGAATAATGTCAAAAATGCTATTAAATTAAATTAAATTAAAATATTTCTGATTATTTTAATTTAAAACCAAAGTCATTTTACTACGATGTGATTAAAAAGTTACATCAAGATGGCAAGATATTGTACAAGATAAAATTTAATTTAAAACTTTTTTTTTTTTTTTGTAGATATACATTGTTAAATTTTTCGTGCTACTTCCTACAAGTTCTGTTTGGTTGCAATTTTTCTCAAAGGAATCTAGATTAAAGGTAAATATCATCATACTGCAAACTCTAGAGAAATAGTTCCAAACTCTTTTGAGTTTGAGTTTGGAACTATTTCTCTAGAGTTTGCAGTATGATAATAGTATAGTATGATAATATGTATCATACTATACTATTATCTAAAATATTTATTCGGCAGCTTATTTCTTCAAATGCATATTAACAAACTTATTCGGCCATCTTTGGATTAAACGACCGAATAGAGCATTATTCACAAGAGTGTGTCGTGGATTGGTTATACATGCAGTTTTTTCTAAATTTCATATTTGAATGACATTAGAGTTTAGTTGATTTATAAAATAATTTAATTTGTTACAATAATCCAATAAATTATACAAGCTGCTTAAATTAACACAAATGAAAGTGGCTTTATAGTTCAAAAAGTGGTGTGTTTAAACAGCAATACACATGCCAATGTTCTTGTATGGTATCAACACAATTTTTCTAAAAATGATTTTTAAAATAGATAAATTGCACTAATTGCTCATTAAAGGAATAGGGGAACTGTCGGATTGCAACTTCAGAAAATGTCAATTACATTTGTATATAAGGACTTTGCTATGAACCCTGTATTTGTCTTTCGTAACTGATAAGTGCAGATAGGTACTGTACAGTTATGGTAGTGACTGCACTACAAGGCAACACTGCTTGTGACGCTCCTAGTGTTAAAATTTGGAAGTTAACACTCCTGTCTCAAACAATGTAATTCACTTTTCCATATCTTGCAAAATTGTAGAGCTGCACCAATTTAGTACAAAAAGGACTGTATGATAATAGAGAGTATGGAGTGTTAGTGGGCATGAACACAGGCAAGAAAATGAGAAATACACATTTTACTGTGACTTTGTGCTGCTTTGTCACCATGTTGCACATTGCTCGCACATTACTGTGTGAGAATGTTCCTATATACCATGTATATCACACAACAGCTTCAGAAACCATTATTGTTTCTGAAGAAAATGTTTTACATAATTCTTAACCTGAGAGGCAAACAAACAGCCATTAAGAATAAAAGAATATTTATTGTAAACTTAGAAAATTCAGAATCTGTTAATAAGACTATATAACAATGAAATTTGACACAGATTGGCCACCTTGAGAGAAATATTGGATGGAAGCGGTAATCAAACTATATCGCGTCACAATTCTAGAGTATCAGAAAAAAAATAATAATAATCCTCCGTCTATATACAAACCGATTCATTGCACCTCAAGTCTCCGGAATGTCGACCTGTAAAATATTTACATGGAATGCAGATGCTTAACAAGTTAAATATTGCAATAGAAAATATATGTATATATAACAAAATCTTACAGAATTAAATCGTTATCTTTTGAATTTTTTGGCAAACTTTTTAAAGTTACAAGGCACTTTCGGTCTCATCTCAACATACTGCATGTGACCGTGTTCAAAAGCAGAATTAGGAACCGATTTTGCAAACCCATTAAGACATTTAGAATAATTGCACATGGATTTTAAAGCGGCATAACATGCTTAAGAACATTAATGCATTACATCAATCTTCACAAGTAGAGTAAAGGAAAGAAAAATCCTGGTAGTTTTCAGAATGTGTTACAATAAAATTACATCCCTCAATTTATCTGTAAGCTTTGCTTCTCTTGTTTGAACAGAAGTAAAACAGAATAACCGACGAAGCCAAAAATGTCAAATTAATTCAGCTGTGCACCACAGATTTGGAATTTATACCATTTGGAACTTGTAGAAAATAGCCGTAGCACTTTACGTTATACTCGTCTTATACAGCACGTTAAAAAGATATACATGTTCGTACAAACTACGCCTGTTATGCTGTTTTACTTGTAATTAAAGGACCGGCAGTTTTATTCTGGCAATCATTTCTAAAGACAATGCAACAAAAACTTCCGTTACAAAGACATGTAATTTGGCAAACGCAGAAATTGTGACTTCGGCGGTCAGACAAAACTCCACGGCGGCTCTGCAAACTGCATCCGTCTTCGAAAGAAAAGGCCACAGGCCAATCACAAAATAGGTTTCACTTCCAGCAGCTCAGGATAATTCTCCACGATGTTCAGAAGAATTCCATCAATGTACTTTTTCAACTTGGTGTTGTCTTCCTCTTGTTCTTGCAGAAGTTTCCTCAACTGGAATCAAACGCAAATTTTAATTTGCAGACCTGCTCCAATTATGTACGTACTCAATAACTCTTGCTATCGAGTATGTTATCAAGATAATGCAATAACTATGTAGTCCAATCATTGCAAGGAAATTGAACTGAAAGAAATATTCTACATTCTACTGGGCAGTTTTTACCCTCGCATTCTTTTAAATCTTAACTGTCGTTACTCAATACTTTTACAAAGAAACGGAAGAAGTTTCTTTGAACTCACCTGTTCCTTCGACAAAGTTTCTAGCTCATCCTCCAAGGGCAATGGTGAACTCTGAGGCAGCTCTTGGATGATGGAAGAATTTGATATATACGCCTGCAGTTCCTCGTTTGTTTCCTGCAATTTTGTATTTTCCTAGAATTAAACAAGGATTTTACATTTTTTAATCATTTCGTTACTGCTGATGTGATGTAGCAGACATTGAATCTAACATTATATACACTAAATTTTTGCTACTGATTTCTTTAATGCATTAGATTCAGTCATTACTATATTGTGCATGACATTATTAAGGAAACAATGCACTAAAGCATTGATTCATTTCTTCCTCATGCAGATTGTAATTTATAAAATTTGCTAATTTACACATGTACATAGTTCTAAAATAACCATACTTATGGAAAGTACCACAGGAAGACGGGTGGAGTAATTTTTGTAGGCCTTTTATTATATTTGTGGTTGTAATATTTGTCACGCACAAATTTAAATTATGCGAGATATTCTGAAACATCAAATTATAGTGTTTTGGAATCTTTCTATTGTCACAAAGCTTTCAATGTAATTCCAAACAAGCAGACCATCCTACAACATTTGTTCAGCCATTAATTAAATCCAAAAAGCATTATTGTATGTTTAGTGTTTGTTCTGACACTTTAATTTTAAACTACTACAAGAATTATCAGTTTGAAACTGATAATTCTTGTAGTAGTTTAAATTAGAATAAAACAAATTAGAATGAATGTCGACTACATTGAACCTCCAAAAGTTAAGTCCCAGATATGAGGCCCCCTCCTACAAAAGCTATGAAAACATATGAATAATGTGAATATTTGTGGAAGTTCTGTGCATCCAGAGTCTAGGTTTTTACCTAGATTCTGACACAACATGCATAAGCGACTCAACAGGGAGGAGGTTTTATCTTGGTCCTTATGGCATTATCAATATTGTAGCAATTAGCATCTTTTGTTACCACTTTAATGTTTTATTCAAAATTACTATAAAAATTTAGTAATGCATTCAAGGTTTTAAGTTCAAAGAAGTACTAAAAATTACAAAAGTTTCATTATTTGTTTAATTGTCACAGAATGTGATACAGAAAATATTTTATGGAGTTAAATATAAAATAAACAACAGATCTATTATCAATCTAATAATATAAGCTAGAAATAGAAATGTAAAAACTCACAGTAGTAATATTTGGAGCAACATAATCTAGGCACAGATGCAAATAGAGATTCAGACAAAGTTTATGGATCAGGCCTTTTATTGCTACCCACAAAAAAATGTGATCATCAGTGGAAGATTCTTATGAATGAATGCCATCGTAAAAATGTGTTTTTATGCTAATGCCTTATTTAAAAAATCCAATGAGTTCTTTAACTTTCCTAGCTGTTATAAATGTTATATTTTTAATAAAATCTCATATTAATCATAACAAAAAGGCTTAATTTTCAGAGTAGGACGAGTTTTTAAAAATAATCTAAATAGCAATAATGATTAAAATTTCCATTAATTCCTATCCAAAATATGACACACAAACCCCTCTATCTTCCCCAACCTGATCTTTAACCATCAAAATTAAATGGCATCGATACCCCTTATAAACAAGTTAATGTTCCAAATTTTGTTTCTTAGTCTTTAACCCATCCTGAAACATCACACAAACTAGATGCCAAGACAGTTTGATTTTTTGGGTTCAGCAGTATCAAAAAAAATTGATTCTAAAAACCTGGAGTGTCGAATGTGACATGATTACAACATATTATAAAAGCTTGGAATGTAACTCATGTTACATTATAATAGTCAGGAAAGTAAAAATTTAAGATGATTACAATACTTTTCCCTGTTATAACAGCCGGAAAAGTACTAAAGGATTTGTATGAAGGTAATAATCCTTTTTTTCTTTTCATTACACCAATTTTAAGTAAATTTTATCATTCAAGTCTATATTAAATGGCATAAATGTCCACCAAAACTAAACAAGTTTTGTAGCATTCTATATAATTTCTCTCCATTTTCAACTTACATTTATCACAGTGGCCAAAATAGTAGTGATTGATTTAACAGTATTCTAAAGTCTTAAATTCACATTTGTTTTCAATGTTTTTCTCTCCCCTCTTTTCTGCCATTATCATTATCAAATACTTTAAGTCAATCAGTTATTTGCAAACAAAAAAATTAACAGATATTCTCCATTTCCATCTTGTCAAAAATTTTATATAATAATCATGAGTCCTTCTGTCCATTGCTAAATTAATTCATTACCTATGCTGCTTAGAACGTGACCGGTTATTGTCATTTTTAATATTTTATCTCATCCAAACTAATTTTTGCCCATTGATAAACACTGACCTAGACTAAATTGCAATTATATAATTTCTCCTCTAAAGGTGTCCTCTTCTATGCAGCAAAGCCTGGTTTCTAACCAAAACATACATTCAAATAATTGGAAGCTACTTTGTATTTATGAAAGTTATTTAGGAGTTACTAAATTATATCAATGGCAACATCTCGATGTTAGAAGAAAAATAAAAAACAGAATAAATTTAATGTCATCCAATGCATAATAGATAAAGAGGAAAGACAAGTAGAATGGATGGCAAATACTTATCAAAATTGAAATTTTCAACATAAACCTCACACAGAATATAGCACATTCCAAAAGAAGAATTAATAAATGCACCTGTAACAGTGGATGAAGCTTAAAGAATGCTAATGATTTTCATCCCAAGAGCCATCAATGGATGTGGATGGTGATGATAACAAAGTCAATGTATCTTTTATTAATGATGGATTCGTTATTGATAAAGAATGTGGCGATGATAAATCATTACATCAAATGTAGTAGCTTGACAACCGGAGAATCAAACTTTGTCATCTTATACACAATATCCAAACTACATTACCTACTTCTAGGTTAAAATAAAATCTCAGACACTGCACTTTTTTACTTCTTTTACTGTATTTCAAATCATATTAGAACAAAAGAAATGATGTCCAACATCTATTTGATAGGATTGCTTTCTAATATATTTTAAAATATTTACTCTCCCAAAAACCCAATGCATGGACCACAATTCCACTTATCTCAATTTTAAAATAATTCAATTCAAATCTGTATAGCTATTGATAATATATACTTGTACACTAGAAATGCTAGAGTTAATGTCACGACATAACAATTATATAGGGCACATCTTAATTATATAACAAAAATTCAATGCATTAATGGTTAAAATAACAAATGTTTGCATTTTTAATTGGTAGTAATTCTATAAACAAAGTAACTTACCTCCTTTAGCTGCCTCAATTCCCTCTGAAGTTCAAAGAACTGGTTAGGTAATTCCTGCATGCTGTGACTACGGAAACGTTCCAGTTTCTTCATGTCATCCTCGTAGTCCTTCAGTTCTTCCGACTTCTGCTTCAACTGTTCGAGGAGCTGAAAACACAAATAAAAATGCAAATTTCAATTACATTCATTTAGAAATGAAATGAAACATGCAGAATTTGGAAAAGCTGACATAAAATTTACTACTATTTCATTTATATAAATTAGATGAGTAAGTGAAAGTGGGCAGCACACTATTCTACGAACTGTCTATAAAGTAAAAAATATTCCAACAACTCTTGGATTTACTATTTCGCTCTTTATTGCATTTGATCCAAATAAATTTAATATTTCTAAATTTTCAAGAATTAAAACAAACTGCAGCACTAGAACAAGAATTCTTTCGTCAAATATTACAAGAATAACTGAAAATTTTGATATACAACATTACAAATTGTAAGTCCCAAATCATATTACTTTACAAATCATAAACAGATAGGTTTGATTTCAAAATAATAGAAATTAATGACAGTGTCAAAATATGAGGTTAAATGTCAGTTTGAAGGTCAGCCAAGCAATTTCTTTTCTTATTTAAAGAATAAACTAAAAACCTTCAGAAGTATTATGGATATAACGAATGTATACAAGATTAAACAGGAACGAAGCAAATTTTTGAAATGATCTTGCAATATTTTAATACAAACAAACTATTATTAACGTGTTATTTATGTAATTTTTCTAAAAAAGACATCGTTATATTTACTAGAAATATTTTTAACAGTTAATTAAAATCTTGAGCTAGACTACAGAATTTTGTATGAAGTGCAAAAGTTATCATATAGGAAATAAATTTTTTCTAAAAGCTTCTTTAATAAAAGTAAATAAAACAATTGACAATAGACACTTTAAAGCTTATAAAGCTGAACAAAAATCTAAAGCTTTATTAAAATATATATATATATAATAAATTTCCTCCTGTTAAAATAATTGTATAGATTTTTAATGTTACATTGTTTAATTTGTTTTCATGAAGGCCAAATCATTAATTTCAAGTTTATCAGAGAACGACCACTGTTGAAATAGAAAAGATTTCATTGAAAATGTGAAAGATAGTTATCTTTTGAATGTAACTTTGAATTCTTATTCAAAATTAACCCCAAAGTCCCGAGACTTGAAAATTCTTAAAAAACTGAGGACTTTTGTATTAAAGTCTCTTTTGTCTGAATGATAGTACAGTAGAACCTCGAAAACTCGGCTCTCGATAACCCGGCACTCCGGATAACTCGGTCACACCCTGGCAGGCCAAAAAAATCCTTAGTTAATTAATTTTCATTATTGACAGCTTTATAAAAGTATAAAAGCTCTCATAAAATATTTTTCTGAGGTCTGTCTTATCAGGTAAATTACTGTACACAGTGTATTCATTAATTTTCATTTTCATGTAGTGAAGACTCTATGCCTTCATAAAGTACGTACTTTTCCTTTGTTTAAGGGTATTTGGGCAGTTTATTCTCTGTTGTATTCTCCAGCAAACAATACATACAAATACAGTACACTATTTTCTGAGGAAACACGCATACTTATCCTTTTTTTAACCCCATTTCCGATAACCCGGCATTTTCACAAACTCGGCCACTCTTCGGTCCACATTAGGCCGAGTTTTCGAGGTTCTACTGTATCAAATTGCAAAATGTTCTAAATTGAAAATTAATTTTGCATTATACCATAGAAATTTATACATTTTAAATATAATTAAAATGAGAAAACCAAGTTATATTCTACTAGAATTACATTTTTCTCATTTAACATAATGCAGCAGTTATTGGTAATGTACATACACATACATTGTTAATTCATAAAAATAATTAGGATAATTATTGTACATGTGCATATATGTAAATGATTTTTCTAATTATTTTTAAGAATTCATGAAAGATAGCATAGAATAGCAGAAAGGCAACATCAAACTGTACAGCTCGAAACGAGACAATTTTGCATCATTCCTGCATCACTTTCTTTACATGGTTTGCTTTTTTAACTCTTTCCATCCCGAGATACTAAAATGGCTTTTTCTGAACCTTTCGTGGATTTGGCCAGTCTGAGAATGGGACGTCTGGTCCCAACATATCCCAGGACAGACTGCCCCTGAAAAACTCCCAGGATTTTTTGACCCAACCAGAATCGTCACCAGATCCCTCAGAATGATAGGTTGATGCTTTAAAAATTCAGCAATTATTAAAGCAAATTGTCAAATACAATTAAAAAGGAAAAGTATAATTCATTTTTACACCAATTTTGCATGCTTTTGTAACATTTAAAAAAATATATTAAATGATAAAATAAATTCTAACCATTTTGTTTTTTTCTTTTTCTTCCATAAAATTTTTTCTTTCCTGAGAAACTGCATCTTCCAAATTCTTTTTCTCTTCCTTCAACGAAGTTAATTCTACCAGATTCAATTCCAGTTTGATTTCCATCTGCATTTTATCCTGTTAAGAACACTGCCAATTATCAAAATGTTAATAAAAGCGTTTAATCCTAATTTAAAATAAACATTCACAATTACATTATAGTTGCTTACTTCAAAATACATAAGTTGAATGTTGAAGCACAGTTCCAATAGGCAGGTTTTTTTAAAGTGTGGCTGAGCAATTGACTTTTATTATTGCAAAACAAATGCTAACAAACAGCCTTTATAAATTTTAATTCATTTAAAATCTATAGTTAATGATTGTAGCAATTGCATATTATAAACTGTCGTCATTTGGCTTTATCATTACATAGTACCAACTGTTATCTACACAAACGGACCACAAGCATAACTCCCAAATGGCAATTCCATTTACAAACACGATTGTGATGACTGTGCGCAAATAACCGATACAGTAATGCCAATTGAAACCACTTTAATGTGTGTTTAAAACACTATACGCCCTCTTACCTGTTTTAACTTCTCCACTTGACTTTTCAGATAACTAACTTCTTCCAAGGCATTTTGATTTTCAATTTGTAATATGTGAATTCTAAAATTAAAAATCAAATTTATTAATTATCTATAAATTAATATAACAGCTGTAAAGAAGAGCTTGCTTCCAAAATAAAAGTATTTTTGTTCTGACAGAAAAATGGTATTAATTTAGAACAAAAGATTTATTTACTTATTCACGTAATCTTCTATTTCTTGACTCTTTTCTCTCTCGTGACGGCTCTGAAACAAGTTCATGTAATTCATTTTTCACCTAATGCCAAAGTTGTAACACAATCAAGCAAAGAAATAAAAATACCAATAGTTCTTTCAATTTCTTCTGCTCTTCCTTCATCTTTTCTTCTGACTTTATCTCATGTTCTCTTATCTGTTCTTCCAAAAGATGTATTCTGTTTCAAAATAAACTTTTAATTAAATCATAAAACAAACAAACATATAAAGAAAATTGTACCTTGTCATCAAATTAACATTTTCCTGCTTTACTTTTTCGTATCTGTCGTCGTTATCGGTTTGGACGTCTTGAAGTTCTGACAGTAGTTTCTGGAGATTGTGAATCTGTAATAATAAGAAAAAGTTTGTAAAATGTTTCATCAATAATTTTTAATTTATAAGTTTTATGATTTATGAATCTAACTGTGTGAAAGAACAATACTTGTATATCAAATATCAGTGTTATATCTGGGCAATTCAGAATGTAAAATGCTCTACTTTTCATGCAATGGCAAACTAGGATTTCTCTCTTTAATGTAATATGGTTTTTTGGTGTATAATTATATATGCATGTATTTATTATTTATACATATTTATTTGCATAGAAATGCTTCTTTTTAGTGTGACAGTAATCATGGTTACTGCAGCTTTCCTCACTGTTAACATGAACAAAAAAATACCCAAGATGATAGCTACTTACAAAGAATGTTTAAACATGCCACCCAGTTTTCCTTTTCCCTCATAAATGTCTATATCAAAGGACTTCTGGATCATCAAGTACATTAAAATAAGTAAATCTGTATGTAATAACAATATGTAAAGTATGTAATAACAACACTAAATCCTATAATTAATGTCATGAATTATTGAGTATTTCCATTTTTCTTCTTGCAGTAACTTAGTAAAAATGACCAAATGAAATTTCTTTAAAGTTGCACTTAAATTTCATCTTAAATTCCTTCATTTGTTTGCAAGAAAATTCAAATAAAATTACATTAAAACTTAATTTTGAATTCTTGAAAATTTTCGTGTTTATTTTTCACAGCAACATTCAGAAAAAATACACACAAACAATTTTTATTGCCATTTGTACTCAGAAAATCAAAAATGCAGAAGAAGCTGTTTCTAGTCACAATAAGCTGGATAAAAAAAATTTATATTGTACCTACAGAGTTAAATTCAAAGTTATGTGAGATTAAAAAGATTATGTCTATCAATTCCCATAACTTTTCTATTAAATATAGCATTATTTTACATCCAAAAGCACTCTGTTAAGCAGTTTCTACCAAAGCACTGGACTAAGTAAACTTGATTTAAAATATTGTATACCTACACTAAATTATGAGTAAAAAATCATAACTTATCAAAATTTCTTACTTTATCATATAAAGTTTGAATGTCGTCTTCTACAGAAATTTGATCTTGAGACAAGTCGGAATCATAGTCTGCACCGTGACCATTGATCGGACTGGAACTTCGGAATAATATACTATAACAGTGATGTAAAGAAATAAAGATGCTTTTTGCATACACAAGTAACTTATGATAAAGAAATCATTCAATTTAAATACTTACCGAGCAGAAGCATTCGACGATGGTCTTTTATTTGATCTGTTAATAAAAAGAAAATACCATAAGAATTCAGGTTCGATCAACTTCAAAGCTTCCTTTGAAAAACATTATGCATTATGTCACAAAGATACAAAATGGTTAGGAGCTAAAGCAAGGTTAGTATCTATACAAAACACATCCATTATAGCATCATTCACAGGTTAATGGGTTTATCGGATGGAACAAAGCACTCTACACTTTAAATTTTTCTGTACCAACACCATTTACGAGCGTGCATTATCGACTCAAAATGACGTACCGAGATGACCTACGTAAGCTGCTTCGGAGCCACGTGTTTCTCTGTTGAAACAGATTTTCCTTATTATTATTAGTTCTGTTTGTATCGTGGTTTTGAAAATTATCCGAGCTACAACATAAAACAGCATGTAAAAAATTTCACATAATTTACGTGACTGGAATTTATGAGAATTTGGATCCGAATTAATTCCATTCCTAGCTTAAATCTAACTGACAAAAGAATATTATAATTTAAATTTAATTACCTAACAGAGTGACCTCCTGGCTGAAGGTACATGCCTCGATTGTTTACTTCATCAGTGGTTTCGTACAATTCAACATCAGCGAAGTTGATCAGGTCGCTACTGCAAGAAACAACACTGTCAGCTCATAAATTACAAAACACAAAAGGCCGCTTCTATGCGAAAGACAAAGGACACATATTTACTTAGATTCGCTATCGCACAGTCCCTCGTCTAATGTCGTAAAGACGTCTTCTCTGCAATCTTCGATCTGTAGCGTGGGTGGAACATCCTTAGACATGACAATAGAATCCAACTCCAAAGATCCACCGACCGTATATTCTAGCTACAAAACATTACAATAAATTAGCATTTTATTGATTTTTGGTTTCCTGCTTCCAACATGCATTAACGAATAACCAATCATAAACAAATAAAGAGCTAAATTGATAATAATCGATTCTTATGATGCTTGCATACACAGCTGCATCCTACAATTGTATGATAAACAAACACATTTTATAATAATAAGGAAGCATTTTTATTATGTACAGAAAATGCTTTAAAGATTATCCAAACTTCATCATCAGAAGCTTTTATTACATCCTCCCATCCTGTACAGCCATACGTTACATTTGTTCTAGATTTTCCTATCTCATAACTAGTTCACTGATGTTTAAATATATCGTCAGCATGATCTACATTCTAAAATCTGCAGTATATTCATCACGTCGATATCAATATCACTAGATAGTTTTCTATAATATATACAGCTTAATGCATTTATAATCAACCAAATTGTGTATTCCCATCGAAACAATTCAAATCTGGCTAACAAATCAATTCCCATAGACTTAACTAGTCGCATCGGTATCACACACAACAACGCGACCTACATCAACAGTACACTGTTTAAGACTATTCGAATGCTACTGTAAACATTAACCGTAGCATAGGAAGGAACGTTTTAAGCACTAAAGAAACCTTGGCCCGATTTCCTTAAATGCATTATATGGATATGGAACGAAAATGAGCAAGCAGTGAAAAGACCCCTAAGAGGGCAAGATCTCGACTATGGTCAGATGTGCCCATGCATTAAATTTCCAAGTGCAAGCTTTCATTACAGACATTAAAATCGTCCCATCCATAAGAGCTACATCATGGCCATTAGGCCCTCCTAGGCAGAAGGAACAGTCTCGTCGTCCATGACATAACTCCCACAGATGGGACAATTCTAACGTCTATAACGAAAGCTGATGCTCAAATGTTAACTTTTGTAGGATAATTTAGGGATTTTTTTTTTTTTGTATGTTCTTTCATTTAAGGGCAGCAATGTAGGAAAAGTTTTATTTATGCTCTAAGAAATGCAAAATTGGCAAGAATTCCTGAGAATCTTCCTTGCAAAATTTCTTGCTTGTTTTGCATTTCTTACAGCCTAAACAAGCAGAAAGTAAGCAAATTGCTTATATAAACACATGCTTAAATGACCTAAGGGAAATTTCTACCGAAATTTCATTCAAATTCATTCTTTAACAACACTTATTACAGAAAATATGACTTAATTATGTATATGGGAGGTTAACGTGACATTGCAACCTGCCAATATGTTACATCAATGTCAAAACATCTCAATCTGCATCTTCATTAGTGCATAAAATTCCCTAAATTAAAGTAATTTTCCAGGATTTTTCTCACCCACTTACCTAATTCGACCTAATTTTACTGGGTAACATCTACTTTGACACCGTCTATTGGCTACATTTTCAATTTAAGTCGTTTAATCTTCCTTCTCCCATTTACATCTTGGAAGCAGAATCGTCTATCTTTTTGGCATTTGGGTAAATTCGATACGCTCGAGGGAAATTTCCCTAGGCTAGATGATATTCCCGTCACTTATGTAATTTTTTTTTTTTTTTAAATTCTGCTATATTATATTGTTTATATTTTATTTAAAGTATTAAAAATTATTTCCAGTTTATGCATTTAAAATACTTAAAACTTTTCCCTTAAAGAAGAATTACGAATGTTATGTTTATTGCAGTTTAGAGAAATTTCTCTCTCGATCTGACTTTCCGCGTATTAATTTTTCTGGAAAAAATTACTAAAATCGAATTTTTAAATGAATTTATTATAATTTTTATTGTGTTATTTTGTATTAAAATAAATTTTAAATAAAACTTGAATATAAAGTAATATTTTATTTTGCGTTTATAATTTCGAGAACACCGGAATTTCCCTTTATTTACATAAATTTTTTATTCGTTTGAATAGTTACGAAGATTAAATTATACGAAATTACATATTTTTTTTATTTGAAAAAAATGTGTTTTCGGGATACGATATTACATAATTCGCTTCAAAGTTCGAAAAAAATATTTCTACGCGTAGGGAAATTTCAGTAGGAAATGCAGACTCGGATAGGGAATTTTTCTGCCGCATTAATTGAAAAAACAATTTTAGTTTCTATGCATATTTCCGGATGTTTTTGCGAAATTTAAACCGGAAAAATCTTAGGAAAAAAAAAACAGTGTTCGAATTTCATCACGCGAAACCTCTTTAATTTTTTTTTTCTTAAATTATTCTCGTTTTAAGGAAAAAGTGTTGTATCGAAGGAGGAAAAATAGAAGTAAAATCTCGGTCTAGTTAACGGGATTAGGGAAATTTCCTGAAAGTTTTTTCGAAAAAAATAATAAATAAAACATTTTTTAAAAGGTTTAGCAATTTGAAAATCATAATTACCTATTTTCGAACTGGCCAATCGAAGAGAATTTATAAATTTAAAAGTTTAAAATACGTCACAATTCATATAATTTTAAATTTGTATTTTAAGATAATTAAAACTCGTTTCCGAAAATTCCGTAAATACCTGTATAGGGATTTTTAAAGTAAATTTTAAAAGAATCAATATTTAAAGGTAGTATTTATAATACAGGAATTCTAGTATAGCAACCTTTATACTCTATTTTGGCATTTTCTAGTGTCTTTAAACGTAGTGTTTCTAGCGTTTTTAAGACAGTATTTCTAGTGTCTTTAAACGTACTGTTTCTAGTATAGGGACGCATAAAATAGCTTTCCTAGTGAGGATTTTTTAAAGTAATTTTTCTCGTGTGAGATCTTTCACGATCCTGAACTAAAAACAACTCGAAAGGAACATTTGCAGTGCAGAGATCGTTAACTTTTCTAGTGTGGAGATCTTTAAAATATCTATCTAGATAGTTCAATTATTTTAGGGATCTTTTAAGCGGAATTTTTTAATATAAGGAAGGCAATGACGACGAAATTAATAATATAAAAACGGAATAATTTTCTTGTGGGACGAATCTTATGTTCTTGACGCTCGACAGCACTAGCAGAGAATTCCACGAATATTTTTAGCATTTATTAAGGGGGGCGAACACGCATGAAGGATACTTTAAACGAGACAAATGTACGTCCATATCGTTTATTTTAAAATTTTTGGAGTCACGTACGACGCTCCGGTTACGTGCCTAAATCTCGTCATTCGATCTCGTGCCAACTTCAAATTGGTCTGAACCTGACGTCACCTTACACCTCACTGTTTAAACAACGCCGTGACATATCAAAATTCCATCTTGCCATCGGGTTCGAGTTTCCTTCTTGCTCATAAGCGCGCGAGATCGTGTTCGAAGTACGTGTGCAATTAAACCTGTTTGCGTCACTTCGACTAAATTTAGGTATTACCTTAGGTGCGACGAAGGTTCTTTAGCAAAATTACCTCCCGGATTTCTTTACCTGTTTGTTACGTCACTCGTCTCACACTTTTACATCTGTTGCTGGCCCTTATTGTGACCTGTTGTATGCCTAATAGAGCTCTACTCAGACATAGGACCAAGCTTTGCAGATGCTTTGATACGTGACCTCGTAATAAACTTCATCTATAGGAAGGATGCGTTCAGTTGTAACATGATTACAAGCTTGTTTAAGGTATCTGTACTCTTTAATCACATGACTTTCTCTACACTTGTAGTCTATAGTTTTATGCATACGTCACGTAACAAAGGATGACACAAAATCGCCTTTCCTTAAAACACATCTTCGAATGACGTTGCTTGACGTGCTGTACACTTGTACATATACAAAACGCAATTAAAGTGTAATCGCTTGACCCGTTCGTGTACTTTTTACGCAAAGTGTGGAGGTGGCAGAGGTCGCGTGGTATGACCCAACAGAGGCAGCAGGCCCTTGTTTAATAACATGCACGTCTGTCGTGTGACATCGTACTTATTTATAATTAATACACTGTACGAATCTACGTATATTCGAAGAGGATGAGTGGCGTAACAACTAGAAAGTTTCTTAAGCAAATATGGGAATTACTTACCTGTTCTCCTTCGTCCAGACCTGTAACCACATCGGTGTCACCATCTGCAACAAGTAAAACAGGGTCAGACTGGCGCAGACGCAGGTGTTTCTAACAATACTTTACGGCGACGTACTCGTTCACGTGGTTGCTACTTTACCAAATGTGGGATGGGTCGGTTGTGCGAGATGCCACCTGTTATCGATCACGTGAACTGTCGCTCTAAAGTGTTTCTGTTTAGATGCAAGACTCAGTAAGCATTAGATTGCGGCGCAAAAGAAAACTATTAATCACGTGATACGGCAACTCGAAACAATACCGTGTGAACACGTGATAAAAACCACCCGCGAGCATAAAGCTGTAAGTGCCTACACCTGCAGCGTAGTCGCTGGCACGTGTTTTCAAACGAACGACATGCTGAGAGATCACGTGATTCAAACAGTAGCTACGCAGTTTACTAAACAAAAGAGGGAATTTGTAATTAAACCGTGGCTCGTGTTTAGCGATTTTTCTCGTATAATAATGCCATTGACTAAATAATCTATAAATTTAATCAATTCCTGTGTTTAGGTACCTTAGGTACCAGATAATCCCGATCACATGATATCATTTTCTTAGCTCCGTCACTTCTTAGCTTACTTCCTCCTACTTTTCCACCTAAAAACCGGGTCTGGAAATCACGTGGTAAACGAAACAAAGGGGGAAATTCCTCGAAATCTTTACCGACACCCGCCAGCACGTGGTTAGTGTTTATTTTTATCAGTAGTTTTCGACAAGCGACGACATCTGGTGAGTGCAAGGTTATCGACACTCATCTGTCAAGTTCGTCTATGAAACTGTATCGTAACAAATGAACTTTTATTGCACTTTTAAGGGATGGTTGTTGATTTTTTCAATGGCCTTGCCAGTTTGAAGGCAAAGTTTTGTATTAGACAATTTTTAGCAAGAATTTTTTCTTAATAATTAGTCGAGGACTTCATAAATACCATGTTTATGTAAGGCCATTGTTAATCATTTAGAATTCAACAAACCTCAACATATTCAAGACTTGATTTTTTTATGAGGTTCACTTGTGTAGAAATTGATTGATGGAAGAAGGCAACTTAACACATGGACCATTTGCCAGAGAGGATGTCTCCCGGGAGGCATTGTATAGGTGTTAGACGCGTGAAGAAAACACGAAAAACTATGTGGCCTTTGAAAATCTATGCGGCTAGCCTTTTGATGAGGCGCGAATGGTCATGTTTTATGATATATTCCCTCAAACAACGCATAACATGCGTATTTTCTGCGCGCAATTTAGAATTATTGTATGCTTCAATCGTTTTATGCGCATAAAACTCAAAATAACTTACCTTTAGAATGTAGGACCGTATCGACCCCCGCGCAGAATTCCTCGAAAGAAATTTCTCCATGTTCTCTAGGGTATAAAATCTCAACCAGCCTCTTCGTATCCTATAAAATCAAATTACACAAGGCATTACTCCTTTCGGGGCTACAGTTTAAGCCCCAAAAGGAGTAATGCCTTGTGGGGGGCTTTAAATTATGAGCTTTCGAAACACGATTTCATATCCGTATTATAAATTAACGTTTCCATCCCACACAAATGTATTAGATACGTAATATTTTAAATTCCACTCCTTTCAAGGGATGGAAGTAGTTTTGTTCTGTTTATATGTTAAGAAATTCAAAATTTAATTTAAAAAACAAAAATGTAAGGAGTCGCCACTCTTGAAAGTCAGTGCAATTAAATTTTGAAATTCAAATTTTGAATAAGAGATGGCGATACTAGAATAAATTTTATACATTTTTGAAGTTATTAATTGTGTTTTATCGAAAATTTATATTATTTTTATAAATATTAAATGGGTTAATATTACAAAATTCAATTTTAAAGCAATTAAAATGAATAAATCTTGAAACGATCGGGTTAATGCCCTATAATTCTTAATGACGTCAAATCGAGCGAGTCTCGTGCTCTGCCCACGTGTTAGCAGGAGAATCTCGTATTCGATTTTTTGTGCGCGCGTGTTTTTCGAACACAGGATGTGCTCTTTGAACTTTCTCTTTAATCAAAAGTCGGCTCACTTTGATTAAATTTTTATCGATTTTGACCTCTTACACCGATTCATTTGGAAATTTTATCACTCTCCTATTCTTTTACACTAGGACATTTCGTGAATTTTCACCCTTACGAGGCATACCTTCTATCGATATAACTTGGTTGTATGTCTAGGAAGAACATTATAAAATATCCCTTTACTTTGAATGTATGCCTCGTGAATGATTAATCAAAAAATAATTTTCAGGATAATATAAGTATGCCTTGTACTTTAGACTGGAAACTTAGATTTTTTGTGGCTCTAATAGGCCCTTCCTCTCCGCCAAATAATGATACGTGTAAAACTGTAAGGCCTTTAGCTGTACTCATAATGCTAGGTAGGCCCTAATTTGCAGATTATTTATATGCAAATCGGTTCTACTTGCCACAAAAAGTATGCCTCGAATTAAGGAAACTATGCCTCGTACAGGCTGTGTCGAAAAAATGCCGCTTTGTAACATACCTGCTAACATCGAAATGGTGTAATTTACATTTTACACATTATTGTGTATCGTTATACGTGTTGTGTCTCTTATCACAGTTAAATAGTCTCTTCCTAATTATAATGTCATGCTTATAGCTCGTGTTCAGCCACGCATATAATTTGGACAGACTCATTAGGATCATCTCAAAAAATACTTTTATTAGAGGCTCAATTATATCTGGCCTTCAACTGTAAGATTTTTTATGAGGCGCGTGTCTTATTAAATTAATTAATACACATTATAACGTTACTAGCGATGATTAATGTTCTTTGTACCACACATCCCAACTCTATACTATTATGTTACGTGACCTTCTATAACAACGAAAGGCTCTATCGATGGTACCGTAGAAAATAAATGTACCAAGACCTACCTGAGCGCCAAAGTATCCCCTAGCAGATTCTTCTAACTCTTCCACCGATAAATAACCGGACCCGTCGCGATCGCAGAAGTCGAAAACCTCCCTCAACTGAGATTTGGATTCTTTTTCCTCCTCCTCATCCATCACCAATTTTTTTTAAAAAAATAAAGCAGGCAATTGTTTACAAAGTCTCGCACCTCACTCGATTAGTCGAGGGGCGGTTTGGTCACGTGATTCGTATCTAATTTCGTTATATTATTTGTGTCGCGATTAGATTATGGCAGTTGTTCCTCTACGCAACATAAAGGTCCAAGAGCACTTTTCTATTGTCCACTTTTTATCTACATAACAAAAACCAAACTCAACATACCGTGTGATATGTCAATTTTCTCAGAACGTTGTCATCTTTTATTAAACATACTTATTCGTCTGACGTCTTCCTGTACGTAAATCGCTGAGACATTTATACTTTATAAATTTTGTAATGTAATTATATTATCCGCATAATAGTATAGCAATAATACTTTCTCTATACACGAATTATTGTGATGGTACTACTGCTCTACACGCACTATTGTGTCAATAATACTACTCTACACTTAAACTACAGTGACAATAATACTACTTTAAATACAAATTGGTATGGCAATAGTGGTTTATTTACATATTTTCAAGACAACTTTTTACAAGCAACGTACAGTTGTTCATATTTTACATCAAAAACACCAGACGAATGTAATTTAACCTCCAAAACTGGTAGGGCACTTCAATAAAGACTTCTTTTTTGTTGATTTCTAGCGACTAGAAATGTCGAGGTAGTATTTTCTCTCGGTAAATACACAGAAAATATACGTGATTTTCTGTAATTTCTGACACTACTCGAGTATATTCGCGACGGATCGAATAGATTTTCTAAGCAGGGTGTTTAAATGGGAATTAAAAGCTTAAATACGCAACACGTAACATCTACTAGGGGGGTCATCCTTACAAGAAGAGGCACAAAAACCGTACATAAGCATGCGCAACACGTTTCTCTCTTTAACATCGAGTAAGCGATCGTTACGAGGAAACTCACGAGCCGATTAGCGCCGGGAGCTTCAGCCAATCCGGAACCTCCTCGGCACGAACCACCTGATAATCCCGATGGCGCATGCTCGAGAGCGCGTGCCTCGCGGTGTCACGTTCCCCTGGCTTCGAATGACACAGGCGCGCACGCGATCGACCGGTTCGGACGTGCGCGCGTCCGACCACGCGGGTTGACAAGCGCGTGTCACGATGCGATGCTGCTTCAAGAAGATAGCCCGTCTGGTCACGTGCGTCATCCTCATCCTCCTGTATCTTTTCTTAATAACACTGAGGGATCATCGAAGGAATGCGCAAGATGGCGGATCGTCACACAATGTTTCCGTTTTTACGGAAGAGGAGGAGGAGGAGGAAATCATTTTTAATAATTTAATCCCTCGAGACACGGAACTTCGCGATCTGTTCGTGAGCGTGAAGACGACCAAAATTTTCCATCAGAACAGGTTGGAAATACTCCTCAAGACCTGGTTTACCTTGGCACGCGAACAGGTAAGTGTTTGGTGTCATCCTCCTCGTTTTTTTTACTTAAAATTTTGGAATTTCGAGTGGGATAACGGGAATTTTTCCATTCACCCCCCCGAGAGTCCGCAGAAAAGTGGAACGTCAGCCACGAAGGTGAAACCATTGGAATGATAGAAAGGTCACGAACTGGTATCGAAAATATTCTATCTTTGCCCTTTGCAGCGAATACAATGGGTGTAGACGAGGGGTCACATAATTTCGCCTCACGTTCCGAAGGTCGAGTAACGATTGCGTCACGAGTTTCGTTGCTCGTGACTTCGAAATTCCATCGTTCGAACGGGAATCATTTAACGATCTCGAGGGGAGGGGGAGCAGCTTTGTTGATAAAGGCCCTATTTTGGGCACGGTCATACGAGTAGGACCTCAATATATATTTACTTTATAAAATTGCAAAGAGCGTGGTTGTCGAGTGCCCCTTTTAGAACCACAAATTACGCAATCTACCGAAGGCTTAGTTTTAAACAGGCCCTCCTGTACGCCCCTTCGTATGGGCAAGATGCCCATACGCATCTATTCGATAACGATCGGAAAGGAACAATCTCCAAAGTCAATACGCGGGGCCGAAAAACAAATCATTTTCTAAAGTTAACAGATCCTGTTTGCATCTCACGACTCCGTCCTCCCGATGCACGATTCACGAACGGAATGCGCACGCCGCTTGCGAGATTACGTGGCGCGTAACACGAGGAGATGGTAACGTCACGTAGAACGTGCCTTCCTCTCGCGCTTTTAAAAACTCGCACGTGTGATGGAATGCGGCGCGTTCGGCCGGGGGGCGAAAGCTATCTCCCTTATCTGTCTGTGTTTAAGTAATAGTGTCTCGGAGCCAACTAGATTGAAATTTACTAGTTGTTCGTGACACTAGACCAGCCACCAAGTGAACTTTGAACTCTCGTCATTCATTTACTCGGCCGCTTATTGGCCCGTTTGAGGTTTGAAAATACTTTCGATTCCTTATTTTTATTGCTAATTTCGAAATTTTTGAGCTCGCGACGGACGCGGTGGTGTGGCAACGCGCGAGAATTACGCAGAGGTACCCGATGAGCGCGCGACGCGTCGCGTCGCGCCTGTTGTGCGTCGATTTACTATAATAAAAGTAAAACACAAACAATGTAACTATGACTGCGGTATCCTTGACGTGTTTCCTTTTATTCTAATTATTTTAATTCTTTAATGAAATTGCGTTACATGCGACGCGACGCGCGAAATTACCCTATAATAATATTAAATTACGTTTATTACGTCTATAAACTGTTATGACTGAGTTTAAATATCTGTAAACGTTTAGAAGTAATTTGTTTATATTAATGTTTTTGTTTATTTAGTAATCTTATCGTATTTCATCTGTTTACGCTCGCGCTATGCGACGCGCCACGCAACATCAATAAACACAAAAGTCAAGTCTGGTACAAAATTTATTTACAATTTCTGGAGTAATTAAAAGTGAATGCCCGTAGATTACGATTTTTATTGACTTTTGATTGTGTATATTAAAATTTAGACATATTACCATAGGGAAAAATCCTCATTAAATCTTGGAAAAATATAAATTTCAGTGGAAGATTGATGGAAAAATGAGCAAAATTCACATCCTGTACATTTCTAAAATGTTTACTAGCTTGAAATATTCTTAGAATATCTTATTGTTTTCTATTTTTGTTTCACTTAAACTCTTTCTCTCCACTAAATGCGCCATTTTCTGACCCCATGATCTGGGTTAAATTGCCATTAAAAATTTGAGCTTCTGGTCTAGCCTTAAAACTCGAATTCCTGGAACCAAGATTGGATTCCTTTGCAGCTCTGGAAGATTTTGAATAAGTCTGTTGTTCTGCAAGATTTGGTTAATATCCTTATCATTGTAGAAATAGTTGGCCATAGTTATTTGTTGTAGGATGACAACAGTTTAAAAAGTGTTGGCATATTGCTTGGGGACCCAGGATGAAATCTGGATGGTTGAGAAACACTGGGAATTTTTCATGGGCACTCTATCCTGGATATGTTGGGCCACCCCCGTTCCTTACCATACAGCGACCACCATTGCAAGCCTGACTGAACCCATGATAAATGTGAAAAAAGTGTTCTCTTAGTGCCCACGGAGCAGAATTAAAAACAATCATCAAACATATTGTTTACATATTTTGGGAAACTAAAGCACCATTACTTCATGGTTTTAATGGTCTGTTTACTGAAAGCAGAGCAAAAACTGACTCTTCTCCAATATTCTTAATTCTTAAATTTCTAGATTCAAAAGCTTTAAGATAGAGGGAATGAATAATGTTTTTATGTTAATTTGACGATAACTTTGTCATTCAAAGAAGAATATGAATGCATTGTTCTATATAATGTAAATGCATTTTTTGTGAGTGGTCTGTGTTAAATATGTTGGGTCTCATACAGTGCTACCCATCTAGACCCTCTTCTGACCTGTATGTTCTAGCAGACAAGCTTAATGCCTACAGGATGGAAAGAGACGATGATAAAAATAAATATAAATTTTTCAAAACTCTTTCTCTTAGTATCAAATATTTTAATCCCCATTTTCTACTTTTAATATTTCAGACTTATTTCTTTACCGATACAGATGATCCTGTCTATCAAGCCAAAACTAGTGAGTAAATTACTTATCCCTTTGAACTTCTTCCCTTTTCCAAACTAATTAATGCTTTTCTTCTCTTGCAGATGGTCATATGATAAATACAAATTGTTCCTCCTCACATAACAGGTAGGGGTAGCATTCTTCTCTTCCTTGTTTACAAAACACAACTTGAATCCTTAGCTCAATTATCTGTCTTACAGAAAGGCTCTCTGTTGCAAGATGGCTGTCGAACTAGACACCTTCGTAGAATCTGACAAAAAGTGAGTTTTATACTGCCAATAATGTTAGAACCAACTCGAATTTAATGATGAATTCCCTTCTGTAGATGGTTCTGCCATTTTGATGACGATAACTATGTAAATGTGCCAAGGTTAGTGAACTTGTTGAAGAGTTATCAACCCCAAGATGATTGGTATTTGGGTAAACCGAGCATACATTCCCCATTACAGATGACAACTAGAGATAATGTTAAGGTACGTACTTTTTTTTTTTGACATAATCCCAGATTGTTAACTAAAATTTGGATTGTTACATTCAATTAAATGCCTGAGGAATTATCATCATCCAATTATATTACAGTTATCATTTTGGTTTGCTACTGGAGGTGCAGGGTTTTGTTTGAGCAGAGCTTTGGTGTTGAAAATGATGCCATTTACTAGGTAATTTAATCAGTAAGAAATCACTTACTTTACTGCTTCAATTTACAAGCAATGTTGTTTCAGTGATGGCAAGTTTATCAGTGTCGGAGAGAGGATACGACTTCCGGATGACGTCAGTCTGGGTTACGTCATCGGTAGGTAGGGTCCATATTAATCTAACATGCCCAAAAATTACAATTTTTCAATGAAATTAATTTCAGAGCATCTGCTGAAGAAGAGGCTGACCGTTGTTGAACAATTCCACTCACACTTAGAACCCATGAAATTCATTAAACCTGAAGAATATAAAGATCAGGTAATATAGTTATAGTTAACAATCATTTATCAACTTTGTGAATATGTATAATTAAATACCTAACAAACTTTTGCTTAGATAACATTCAGTTACTCACGGCTAGGACAAGAGATGAACGTCCTTCCTATAAGTGGTTTCGACAACAGGGTCGATCCTACCAGGTAATTCTCAAATTCAATTTAATACAACACTAGGACCTTCAAATCTATTGTTCATTTAAGAAAAAAATTAATATTCTAATCATAATGTCTATCTTGATAAGAAGCAAATGAATCTAATTGATGGGATAAGGCAATGCAAAGCATGGGCAATGCATTGAGGAGGATGGACTTTCTATGGGAAACGAGCCCTATTTAAGTGTTAAACATGTGAAAGAAACCCAGAAGCTCCTCGTGACTAGTCCATTGGTCAGGTGCAAACCCACAAGCTACCAGTGTTCAATAGTTTTATCCACTATGCCTCTGGTCAGCAGAAATGAATCTGACTAAATTTACATTCTTTAACAGCAGCTAATTGTCAAAATATCAGCCGCAAACATATATTTTTTCTATAGTTTCTTTAAATATAACATAATATGTTACTTTAGGTTAAGAATGCTAAAAATTGTACTTTCTCGTAATTAATTTTCCAATAATTTAATAAGTTTCACGACACTGCAAAATCTAATACAATTTAAGAAATGCAGTTAGCATACAGATTAGTCTTTGAGTAAAACACAAAAGTATTCACAAGCAAGCTTTCAAAAACACTTGCATACATGATAGCAGAGGAAAAGAAACTAATACAGATTCTCCTCATAGAAATGAGCAAATAGGAAAGGCTTTACAGTGAATCTGATTCCTCTAGTAATAGTAGAGTAGAAACCAGTTGGGAACCTCTTATAATGGAGAGAAAGAATGACTAATTCCTATCTTATTCTTCAGAAAGAAAAGTGGTTAAAATGGATGCAGAAAACCACAGTGAAAATCTACCTGGTGATGCAGTTTCTGTTATGTAAACTTTTTCAACTGATTCAAAGCAGCAATGTTCTTTCCATCATGGGCAGACATCATCACCAGCATGTCACAGTTCTAAGTAAGCAGAAATCATGATTAAGGATTCTTTTTAGTCATGAAAAGCATGCCAAACCTCACATTACTGTGGATATAGAAAAGTACAGCATTAGAGAGGCAGTGGCGTAGCATGGGTGTCAGCTGCCCGAGGCAGAGGAAAATTTCGTCCCCCCTTATTTAGGTATCTTAATTTAAAAGACTAAAATTCAGTTTTGTCACAGAACTAGCAATGTAAAATTTCATGCTAGTGCTAACCTGTTTAAAATAGCTCTATTGGATATTGGAGGTGTACATGAATACGAATGAATCATACAAGCAGAAAAAAACAAAAAAAAAAAAAAAAAGGATATCATCTGACGAAATTACTAGTTCACCCGGACAATAGCACTGCACTAACATAGGCGCAATGCAAATATAGATTAGAATGGTTCTAATTTTTACAAGATATTATTATTGTTTATTGTGAAATTTTGCCACAAACAGGGGCGGCCCGCCCCTGCTGCCCCCACTATGCTACGCCACTGTTAGAAAGGTTAATTTCCTTATGAGCAATGGCACAAGATCCTCCAATCACATTAATGCGTGGCCTGTAACTGCCATTGCCACATTGAGATCCAATGCATTTTGAGCAAAAGTTTTCAGTTATTTTCACTGAATAATATTAATTTACAGCATATTTAAATGTTTTTACAGGTTCCTTTCACTTCATTGTTACCTCTTCCCAGAAGTTAAATTTTGCAGCAGGTGACAAAAGATTTTTGTACGGAACATGTCATGCCAACTGCTAGCTGTGATAGAAAATGAATTTTTTACCTATCATTTTGTACTTTTTTACATTTTGTAAATGTTTAAAACTATTGTGAATACGGGTAATTAAATAAACAGAAAGTTTAATTAACTTCTCTGCAAAGATTACTTGTTATAAAATTACAAATTTAATTGGGAAATAACAGTAAAATGAATAACATTGTTCAAATTATATTCTGTCTCTATTTGCAGTTTACAAGGAACAGTTTAGGAACTTAATTTCATGAGAATAATCTGAGAAAGAAATTTACTAAATTTTTCAGAAATTATTTGTAATTATTAATTATTTTTCGTAACAATAAATAATATATCTATTTTTAAAATGGCAAAAGAAACAAAATTATGTTCTCTAGTATCAAAATTTTTTAAGTCCAAGCACTTTCAAGCCTTCTCAGCTCATCTCCACAGCCTAAATTGTTCTAAAAAAGTAAAACTTCTGAAAACTATTGACCTTTAAGTATTCTAAATAAATTAAACATTTAAAAAATAAGTATTTCTTTCTGGATTTTCTGATTATTAGAATAATATAGGCCCAGATGATGAGCTAGGAATGCTCAAAAGCACTTGATTATATAGATTTCACTGCAAGAAAGCTTAAGTTTTTTATACTTTTGAGATTTGATTGAAGTTTGCCGATGTAAGTCAATAAAAAATATAAAAGTAATACTTTAACTGAAGTCAAAATAGTATTCATGGATTCAATTGATTAATAACACAAATATGCATTGTTTAACAACAGGGCTACATTCTGATAAATATGTTGTTAAGCAAACATCATAGAGTGTACAGTACTTAAATAAGCTTTAAGACAGCTCCACATGTTCAGTATTTGCAAATTGCATATTTATCCCCTTTGAACTGGCATATTATACCAATAAGGAGGTCATAATGAATACTAGACACAAGTCAATCATCTACATTACTCTGTATTGGTCAAATATTTGCTTGAAATTTGGAGCTGGCTTGATGTGAGACAGTCTACATGTAACACAATGATAAGTGTTTATGTATCTAAACACAGAAAAGCTACAGGTGACTATGAATTTTTCAGCTTCATTATAGTCTTATGGAACCTCCATTGTTAAACAACACATATCTCTACATATTTCACTACAAAATGTCATGTTAATGTTCAAGTAATCTGCAACTTTTCAGTACTTTCAACTTAAAAATTCAACTTATTAAAACACAAAACATTAAAGCTGTATTGCAATTTTATTCAGCTTTGAGTAAAGTTTGTCATATATAAATTTTATGATCACAGATAGCTTCATCATAAATATATAAATAAGTTTATAATCTACAAAGTTGAGCAGTTAAAACAGAACTCTAATCCAGTACAAAATTACTGCACTTCCAAACACATCAGATTAGTATTTTAGAAAAAAATTTATTATTTATCGCTGTAGAGGGGCATCAGTACCAATGTTTTTTATATATATTATCTAATAAAACGTTCAAGGATATTCTTCATATACTTAAATAATTAATAAACATTAATCATTCTATATTTCAGATTGCTGATTCTCTATAAGTTCATTGGAAACTACTAATTTGGCAAACCAATGCTCTTACTACTTTGGTACATGTACTATACATAAGTGGCACATTCTACAATTACTGAGATTATCACGTTATTTTTGTTTCATATTATTTTACAATAGCATTGGACAGTAAACATTAAATTGGAGACGCATCATAATGGAATGGCAACCCATTACTATATAAATCTACTAATACTAATAAATCTTTGCAACTTATCTGTTTCATGATCAAGAATTCTCATTCTAAACTTGTCTCTTTGATGGGATTAATTGAATTGCTGCTAACGTCATCTTCTTCCACACTAGAATTAGCTTGCTGTTCGAGTATTTTCTGCAAGGGTACACCATTTCCCTCATTTGAATTCTCATCTAGATGATCCTGAATTGCTTTTTCTCTTTCGGGAGGTGAAGTCCTTCTGACGGAATTCTGTTGTTCATTCAGTTCTTCCTTGGGTATGCTCAAATCATCGAGAAATTGATCCATTAATTGTTGCATAATATCCTAATAAAATAAAAGACACACTTGATAAATGAAAGAAAATCTCATATCATTTCTAATCTTTGAAGATTTTTTTTTGCATAATGCAATTTAAAAACTTCTTGATAGTATATTGTTTTTGCTGATGTCTTGAATAAAATTCCAAACATAAAAATAATTGATTTTAAGTGAATTAATAATAAATAAAACATTTTACCTACCACATTCAACTCTTTCTGCTGCTTCATATGAAATTTGAATGCTTTCTTTATTGCTCTATAATTAAAAAATATTTATATTTTCTTATATTCTATTTATTAATAATCTTAATATATACATCTTGTGTTGACTGACTTTTAAGTCAATCTTCTCACATAAAAATTGAATTATTTGCTGTTGTTTTTTTAACATTAATTTTTCTTTAACACATGCAAAGAGAATTTTATTGTAAAAAATCTGGCAAGGACTCTTGCTCGACTTTCCCAGCACTCAAACAGAAACAGAAGGTTAAGGGATCATTAAAAAGTTCAAGTTGCATTAAGTTTGAACCCACTCAACATCACAAGATCTCCTCTATATCCCACCTCCTCAACCTTTCTCTACCAAAATTAATAGCATGCTCCTTACATACAAGTTACCATGCTAAATTTTGTTTCTTCATCTTTACACTATCCTGAGATGTTAAACAAAATAGACATCAACACACACACACAAACAGGTTATATTTTCCTACTACTTTTGACATTTTTGGATTTGGGAATCTCAAGACATTGAGATTCACTACAAACCCAAAGAAGCAAATCTGACACGATTACAACACTTTCCTGTGTTACGTTATAACATCTGAAAAGTAAAAAAGCAAAAATAATGGATAAAATCTTACCCGTCAGTATAGATTCCTCGTTTAAGTATGTCTTCAGTTACGGTTGACAAAAAATTCAGATACATTTCTTCATTTCTTTAATGAAATATTAGATATTTTGTATTTGAATGCCATAGAATTATGATTTTAAGTTTTATTTTAACTTACCTATTAACAAATTCTAAGGAACCTCTGTACCTCTGAATAGGGAAATCAAACGAATCTTGATGAGGATCCTGTCTCAACTTAAAATGAAAGGTTTTAGGATTGTGTGATGATTCCTTTCTACTATTTCTTCTGTAGTGTCTCCATGAAGTCCTGTCACAGTCCAAATTATGGCTTCCGTCCGTATCTTCCGAACTATCTTCGGAATGCTATTTGTTTTCCAAAAAGCAAAAAATTCATTATGATCGATTAATAGACTAAAATAAAACAGCCGCTTAAAGTAACCAAATTATTTATTCGAAAAGAAATTTGGTCTGTTCTAGGACATCTTCAGCTTATACATGTGATGCTGAATGTAACGACTGCAACAGGAATGTCAGTTAGTTTAATTGTTTTTCCGCTATTAGAATTTGAAATATGACAGATTCTACCAAAACAAATTGTATTTGGTTCTTTCTGATTATGAAAACTTCATGGTTTTATATCAACATACTGTTAATGATCAATATAACAAACTATTGTAGAGAAGCAATGGACTAATAATGTCAATTATTTGTGGTATCCAAATATGTCACAACAATTACAAAACAAATTTATAAGAGATGCAACAAGAAACACAAACAGTCTATTTTGATAAATATAAGACAAACAAACACTCTGCTTCCAAGCAAGAATGTAAACAATAGTTATACTGTTTACATTCCTGCTTGGAAGCATACAGTGCAAATGTTAAAATGGCTCCACAAATTTTGTATTCACTGATTGCCAAATAATTGACTTTAACAAAAGTATTTGTTACGTGGTGGGCACATAAGTACAGATGTATGATTATTTGCTTTCTAACTTAGCAAATGTCTTAGAACAAGCAGATTTTGTCTGCTGTTTCCTAATAATTGTCATATTGGGGTTCATAAACTTAAGGATCAACAGTCAACAATATACTGAATTAATATGAATAAAATTATAATAATTTTTCATCTCACCAGCTTAGGATGATACTTCATGTTGGCTTTCTTCTGTTGAACTGGTGGGTGATAACATTTCATTTCTAATAATTTAGACTTGGTTTTACTTATCCTAGATTTTGCATCTGTAGAATTCTTTCTATGTCTACTATCTTTGCTTGTACTAGGATTTTGTTTTTTAGTACTGCCAATGCGAGTTTGAGTATTGTTTTGACTCTGTTCTTCATCACTATCTGTAGAAATGCTACCAAATCCAGGATAATTACTAACATATTCCTGAAAAGCACCCTGCTGTACTGCATCTAGATACCAAGACAATTTGTCAGCCACACTGGCTGTATTTTTCACATTTTGGGAATTATTCTTTGGTTTTTCAGGAGTCGAAATATCCACTTCTCCTTGAATCAGAGCAGTGGGCATTCTCTTCCCTCTATTCTTTTTTACTGAATTTAAATACCATGAAACTTTGTCGTCCAGTGTTAAATCACTGCAAGAATATCTCCTCGTTGATATATCTGAAGTGGAATTGCCTTCTTCACGTGGCATAGATGCATTTAATTTAATCAATGGAGAGGCACTTCTACTATAAGTGGATTTCTGCCAATATTCTTTTTTCTTTTGTCCCAAATCTGAAAATAAAATTCAAAATCTAAAAATAAAATTCAAAATCTACTTATAATCTTGTGTATTATACGAGTATATGGTACATCAAATAAGAATGTATTATTCTTACTAATTTCATTCATGTATTATTCTTGTATCACTAATAATTATTAACAGTATGAGCAGGCCTACCGTAAGCAGGCGGCACGTCCAGGGGGCGGCAAATCGAGCGGTCGGTCACATAATACAGTAGACCTCCCTATAATAATGTTGATTATTTCGTCTTATATGAATTCCATGTTGTACGAGTCACTTAGATTTTACAAATACGTGTGCCGGGCTGTGAACGGCTTACGTATTTGTAAAATCTAAGTGACTCGTACAAAACACGGAATTCATATAAAACGGAATAATCAACAGTGTTAAGGAGGGTCGACTGTACAAAGTTATTGTCATAATACTCACCCTACTCATAGCATAAGAAATGTCTTCGCATGGAGAAAAAAATCTGACCGGCGCATAATTACTATATTCTTATTTATATTATAGCGTTAACAGCGCCTCTATTGGCATTTATCAGAATTAAGATGCAATGCGAAACGTCTGTAGGCAGGTTTAACCATCCGGCGGCGCTTTAAAGCCAAGTACCCATAGTCGTGCTGTATGACAGAAGTTGACAAGATCGGCAAAAATAGGGAATTCCCACAGAGCTTCCTTCTCAATTTGTATTTGTACGCATTCGAACAGTTCTATCGCATATCAAATTGCGATTATTCTGACATGGGTCTAAGTATAATTAATGATATTTTAACTTGGTTAGGATTTAAATCTGAAGCTTAAAGACGATTCAAGTAGTGAAACAGACATTGACGGTTGCATTTTCCAGAAAACCAGTCTAATGATCCACGCAGTTGCGTAGCGTGGGTGTCAGCCGCCCGGGGCGGGAGAAAATTTCGCCACCCTCTTATTTAGTTATCTCAATTTAAAAGACTAAAATTCAGTTTCGTCACAGAATAAGTAATGAAGAATTCCGTGCTCATTTCAATCGGTCCGAATCGTAGGTGCGACAAAAATATGAAATTAAATGGTTCAAATTTTTACAAGATATTATTATTTATTGTGAAATTTTGCCGCCCCCACTACGCTACGCCACTGGATCCACAAATCCTATTACAATATCTTTTTACTGATGACTTAATTTCAACATTTCCGAACACAGCAATAGCACTAAGAATATTACTTATATTGCCAGTTTCAGTTGCATTTGGTGAAAGGTCCTTTTCAAAGTTAAAAATTATAAAAAAAAACTATTTAAAATTAACAATGCACCAGCAAACACTAAGTAATTTAGCTATAGTTTCAATTGAACATGAAATCTTAGAAGCTTGGATACAAGAAAATTGATAACAGATTTCGCAAACATAAAGGCAAGAAGAGTTCAATTTTGGGAGATAAATATTTATATGATTTTACACTTAAGTAAACAAAAATAACTTAGTAATAATAAATAGTTTTTCTTTGTAAAGTATTTGTTTTCTTTTTTCACACCTTATGAGACAACACTAAAGAGCTTTTCTGGCAAGCTCAGCCTAGGTAATCATAGTTAAACAGGGGGCGGCATAATCGGTATTGCACACGGGCATTCAAACAGCTAGCGGCGCCCCTGAGTATGAGTCACTATTTTCATATTTACAGTGGAATATCAACTACACAAACTGCTAATTAACTGAGATCAAGGAATGCAAGTTTGGTTTTAGATAAGCACCCACTTGTGAGTCAAATCCCAATTGTTTGAGAGCCAGTTGTGTGAGAGTCAACTCCCAGTTGCATTCCCACACAATTTTTATTCTTGTACATTCATATCTGTTCTCAGCAATCATTCAGAGTATGTTCAGAGCAAAATGACACCTTACCACATAGTCACTTGCTAACAAAATGTCAACACTATCATTGCTTGTGTTATAAAACCTATTTGCTCATTATAATGCTTAGCATTATAATTAAAATATAATTATAATGCTAAGGTTAAACTATAGTTTTATGGTAACTAATTGACAATGATATACATTTAAATAAAACACACTTAACAATTAAAAGTTTAATTTACTATTACAATACTTACGGCTTAAACTGCTCTGCATTGATTTTGGTGCGGAATTATCTACTTGAGCTATAAAATAGATTTTAAAAAAATAACATAGTATGTATAATTTGATAAAAGTAACTTTTTATATGTTATATTTAAACCACATTTAATCTACTTTAATAAAATTTATATAATTCTAGTCAAATAACAAATTAGATTATGTTAATGTAAAATCTTTCCATCTTTTCGATAATAAGGGGGGCCTTTTTTCTTATCCATTGTGGGCCTGATCAAACCCACAATGGATAAGAAAAAAGGCCCCCCTTTCAACAAGGTGAGAGACAGACTGCCTGTGAAGAATTTCTGGTGTATTTCAACACCAACATTTGATTCCGGGCTCTCCAAAACAGTAGGTTAATAACTTACCTGCTTCAACCATCTGGCCGTCTTTACAGATTTAACAAATTAATCATACTAATTTCAATAATTTTTAACTACAGTAATTGTTAGAATCTTTCTTTACCTTTAGCATTGCTGATCATTTGATAATGAGCACATAACTGTTCCAAAGCAAGATACTGACTCGTTAGTCTTGTAGACGACGGAGACAAGACTGAAATAATCATTAAAATTTAATATCCTCATACATTATGTAAAGTATATGATAGTATTTATTTTAAACAATTGATTTTTCTTTAAGCAATCAGACAAATCAAATCTGGCAACAAGTTGCATAAGTTTCCTGGCAAAAACATTTAAAACTGTATTGTATCAAGTTAAATTGTTTAAACCTTTTAAAATTGTTAAGTTTTATTATCTCAATACTATGATACTATAACAACAAACATGAATTACTAACCAGAACTCTTAAGACATAAATAACTTGGGAATAAATTATTAATGTTCGAATATTCTTCGCTTAAATTTTCACACTTTGAACCTAAAAATAATGAAATTTCCAGTTAATTATTTATTAATTAAATTTTTTGCAAAAACTAATATATAATCTTGCTAATTAAAGTTTTTATTAATAATTTTATAATACAAATGTAGATAAATTTGCTTAAAATTTAAGTCTTTTCTAAAATTAAAACTGTTTTAGAGTGAATACATTTACACATAATACAGAGTGAGACAAAAATCTTTGTAAATGTGCATAAAGAGTTCACAAGACATTCTCCACATGACTGAAATTTAAATGAATGCACATACAAGATGCATTCCTTCCAGGAATAAATGCAATATTATGCACATAAATGCATCAGAAGTACATTCCTTCGTGTAAGGTACATTGCACACATCAGGAGATGAACCAAATAAGAGATATATCAGATGGCACAATATATCCAACGTATCTATTAACCCGTTTTATTTATTTTTGATTTCTGAGCCAACTTACTTTTTCATTGGTTGTTCCTCCTACAACAGTAGTTACAAGATCAATGATTGGTAATATTTACTGGTAATATTTATTGGTAATATTACCAATATTTACTTGCCAGTAGAAATTCAATGGCAAATGTTATTTTAAAAATTATTAGTTAAAGTGTTTTTATATTTGTAAGACAGAAAAAAACATGCTATATGTACAAATGAGTGATATAACAAGGGATTAATGTTTGTTTTATACCTTTATCTAGTAGTAGGGCCAGCTTGACAGGTGAGGCAACAAGGCAACTGCTTTAAGTGGCAAAACAACAGGGTTTCAAAACAGCAGTCAAAAATATTCAAAAGGAAAAAAAATAATAATAACAATAATAAGCCAAATGCAATTAAGTCACATAAATATACTTTAAAGTTGTTTATAAATAGTTTGTACAAGAGTTTCAGAGCTAGAATCACTTGCTATCTGCAACCATTCCAAGAGAGGTGACAAAAATTGGTTTCACCCCAGGGACAAATTATCTTTGAGCTGGCACTGCCTAATAGGTTATGGTTTTCAAATGCTTCCATTAATAAATATCAAGAGAGTGAAAACTAGAGAGTTACAAAGACAATCTATTATACATGACTAATCCAGTGTTCCAGTAACTGCTAATCCAACTACTAGTGCATGTACGAAAACTTGTGACCTGTCCTGTCGACTCAGAAAACTTTCTAATACTTTATGCAGAAAGATTACATATATAATAAACAAATCTTTAGAATATTCAAATTGCATTTTCTTTTAAATTAACTTAATTATACTCACTTCCATTGTTGCCAAAACTAGAGGTAGGTGGATCTATTATCGTCAAAGATTTTGCACTTGTATTTCTGCTCTGCATATCCCTAATCTGAGAAGAGTAAAAGAAATTCATTTTCTCATTTAAAAATTAAAAAAACAAAATGATAAAAAGTTTTTGTTTAATTAAAGCAATTTCAAATTAATATATAACAACAGATTTTGACAAAATCATCACCCTATTATATTTCATGATTACAGAATGTGTTCCTTACAGATTACCTCTCCATGAAAATCATTTCAATTAGCATGTCAAATAAATCACGTTGAAATAAGGAAGTTTTTTTAAATATTTCTCAAAAAATATGTAAAAAACCAAATAAATAATGCATTATAAATGCATAAAATTATCTCTCCTTAAATGTGAAATCTCCATTTTAATTTTAAAAGCTGATTCTCGCTATTACACAATCTGCAAAGCTGTGTTGTAACTTGCTATCATCACATTATACAATGACAGAAGTTTACAAGTTGAATCAAGCTTGACTTTAGACCCATACTGCAGGATCTATGCAATGGATAAGATCCCCGTAGTACCTATTTTATAGGCTTTATAATATGCACTTTTGCTTCCATTATATAAACTTAGAGTACTGTTACTTAAGGGAAATGTTCTCGGTAGTGAGAAACAAATTCTAGTCAACTCATTTGTGAAAATTTCTGAGCCAAGAGTCATGTCCACTAACCTAGCCAAGTGTGCAGAGGAATATTGAGAATAGGAAGAGTCAACTAACTTGTAGAATTTGACAGATTAGAAGTAATTGCAGAAAGCTTACAATCACTTGTAAAGAAGACAGAATATCTTCATCCAATGGCATCATTTCTACAGGAATCTGTAAGAAACTTGTAATCGACTAGGTTGGAATACATGACTTGGATCTTCCAAGTGGCAGATTAATGCCTTTATTGCTCCAGCCATCCAGTTTATCAATAGCTTTATATATGTAAGGTTTATCAAAATATTCTAACAAACAAAATGGACATAAAAACATAAAACAGCAGTAGATATAAAGTTTGTCGTTTTGAAGCTATCAACACTACAGAATAGTAAAATTGCCAAAACCATGCTCTAGTCATGTTTACTTCTTTCCAATCACCCTAAGATACTCATTAGAAAGGAGACAAGTGAATTTCAAACCCTAAACAAAAAATCTTGCACTGATTGTGATGTATATCTACATTAGACTGAACAACAATCCAATATATCATCAGATTTAAATATCCTGGCTCCTAAAAGGAAGACAATAAGTTTAGCATATTAAATAAAAGTAAAAGTAAACGTGAATTTTATTTTAGATATTCTATAGGAAATGATTATAAAATATTCTTTCAATGATAAGTTTACAGTCCAAAACTTGCTACTTCTTTGCTTTGTTTATTACCATACTTTATGGCATATAAAACACAACTTTTGTCCAAAAATCAAAATTCAAAAACACCATCCTGCAAATTACATGTGCAGTTGCAATCACCCTTAGGCTAATGAATTTTTTAAATGGTCTTTAGCAGGCTAGAGATAACCTCTACTTAGTCTAACTCTTGAATAAAAATGTTATGATTTAATTAAACATAATATTATTATTATATTTTGATACAGGTATACCTCGACTTACGTCGTTTCGAGTTACGTCGTTCCCGATTATATGTCATTTGTCAAAAAAGTATATGGAAAAATAAAAATCAAGTTTAAGTCATTTTATTCGACTTTACGTCTGTCTGCCACAAATATTGAAGTCGTAATATCACTAGAAAAGCCTTTAAAGCACATAAAATCACATTAAAATATATACATTTACAAGTATGTACTGTATTTACAGTACATGCATTCGTAAATTTAGATTACTTTTCTTGTACTATATTAAAAACTACAATTTAATAAAATTGTTTGTAAGCTTAATAAATAAAATACAGAACCGGGAATGGTAATTTATGGTTTAGCCTAGTGACAAGTAGATTCGGAGACAAGTAAATTCGACTTACGTCGCTTTCCTGGAACCAATTACCGACGTAAGGCGAGGTATACCTGTATAGCTAAGCAGCCTTTGCAAGTATTCATGTAGAATATTTTAATGGTACATTTTAATTGTAAATGACTTCTTTTAAACCCTATTTTACCGATAACTAAAAGTGTGCATTCTAACTTTACTTTTTTAACCAAAATACATTAAAAATCATTTTGGGTAAGTGCAAAAGTGGTAGGATAGCTTAAATACACTAAATACTTTTAAACAGTGGTAGTTAGTGGCAGGTTTAAGCCCAACCAATGGACCGGCCACAATTGACGGCTGGAGCTTTTAGACTTTTCTTTATGTGTTTAACATCTAAATAGGGATCCCAGTAAGATACGAATTCTGAATGTGGGATTTGCCACCCCAGACTTATAAACACCTTGTAAATGCAAAAAAGTTAATGAAACCATACCCATACATCCTTCACAGGATATTTCCTCCAAAGGTCAGTATTTACCATAAACCAGTATACTGCCTAGTCTCCGTGCTCCACATCAGTCAAGGCAAGTGACTGAGAGCCTCGACCATTACTAATGTAGTCATGCAGTTTGATGGGTAAGATTTACTCTCCGAACGAGGGGGTGGCGACCCCCCAAAGTGTAGCCCCCCGTGCGAACAATAAATGTCTACTGAACCATACCCCTATGCACTACCCTTCCCGAGATATAAGCCCGTTTGATGCTCGCTATCCTCAGTGGCCGCACAAGGCAAGCCCCAAACCCCCTAACACTATATAGCATCAAATACTCCACAGTCAAGTGGGCTAAATAACTAAATCATAGTTTTAGCATAACAACAAGACTCCCAGCAACGTGTGACCCAGAAGTAGATCGATTTTAGGGTATGGTTCTTTTGACTTTTTTGCTCCTATAGACATGCTTGCCAATCTCCCAAGTGTTGTTGGATTGTCTTATTCAGCTAAATACTTTTCCTAAATATTCTGTAACGTGTGTTACGGAGAGGCGAGTATTACACGTCGTAAAAAACTGTATTAATGTTGAAAAAAACATATTTTAAATGTACAATTCCCGTTAATTGTACAAAATTTTACATTTTTCGTTATAAAATTATTTACCGAATTAATTTAATAATAAAAATACGTAATTAAACGACTATAAACAATTCCGATACGTGACTGATGCTTATAGAAATTACTCGCCTGCCTGTAAACAAACCCAAGTAAACAACACGTTTTTTTTTCAGTAGTGTTGCCAGCTATGTTTCGTTAAATTTAAGAATTTTATGAGAAATTGGCAAAATGTTAATATATTATTACTTTAAATTAAACGTCAAATATTTTTAAATTGTAGCAAATTTTAATTTGTCGCATTGAAAGGTCACGTGGTATGATAATGTAAATAATCTATCGCGATGAACGATCCTAGTTCGAATTCATACGGGATCTTCATAATTTATAATGCTTGTAATATGAATCAGTGAGTTGTTCTTCGCTGCTTACTTATATGCCTTTTTATTTCTTGTTATTTACTCCCTTAGAGTCAATGTTGCCATCTTTTCAAATTGTTAACCTGGACAGGGACCAAGGTCCTAGAATATATTCTAAGACCTTGGTATGAGGTAACCTTATGTTCTAGGATCTTTTTTTAACTCTTTCCGCCCTGTGGTCACTAAGAGGGCCTCTTTTTTGCAAGCCCATTATGGGTTCGGTCAGACCCACAATGGGGCTGCCGGGTGGTGAAGGACGGGGCCCAACATATCCGAACGGATCACCACCCCGAAAAATTCCTGGGGATTTTTCGACCCATTTGGATTCAAGCCCGGGTCCCCCAGAGCGTTAGGCTGCCACCTTGACCGCTCGGCCATCCGGCCGCATATTTAGGATTTAATTATTTCAGTCGAAGCGGTAGGCTGCCACCTTGACCGCTCGGCCATCCGGCCGCTGTTCTAGGATCTTGGACAGGGACAGCAATTTTGAAAGGATGGCAACACTGTCTCCAATAGATGATAACTATTTTTGAAATTCGTTTTGTGTCAGCCAATCTTTATTAAATTTACAAGTTCGCTTTCTCTTTTTTAGGTTTTCAATTTCTTGAATTGTCATATTAAATAATTAAAATAGAAATTATGTACTTGTAAACCGAAACTGTCGCATTCTCTTTACAACAGGTTTGTTTCAACACAAGTACCTGACTGGTTTCAATTTGAAACCGCACGAGCAGTGCCGGCCTGAGGAAATTTTAGGATGGAGCGAGATCCTATTAAGGCGCCCCCCGAAAATATCGAAAATTGAAAAAAATATTTTTTCCTTTAATTTTCTTTACCACTGGGGCGGCCCCTAGGACTTAGCGCCTGGAGCGGCTGCTCCGTTCGCCCTATGGTTGGGCCGGCTCTGCGTACGAGGCATGCGAAATGTCATTTTACAGCCAAAAACTAAACAATGCGCATGCCAGTTTTAAACCAGTTAGGGACTTGCGTTGGAACAAACCTAATATTTGCCAGATATATTTGCAAGTTAGAATTTTAAAAGTACATTTCCTGTCACTCTTACTTGTTAGTCTAGGAATAAGATGGGAGTAAGTTTGGGTGGGGGTGTGAAGTTAAAGTCTTTAACCGTTAAAATAAAATACCCGCAAAAATTTTTATAAATTTATTTTGTTTCATCATAATTTAACTATTTCTACAAAACCTTCGGATCGTGAATTTAAAAACTGGCTTGTCCGGGTGAAAACCGGCCTTGTGGCAACACTACTTAGAATACTTAGAAGGTCTTTCATCCGTGCGCATCATGATATTTTTTAAAATTATTTCTGCCCTGTGAGCACCAAAACGGCTTGTTTTTAAGAAGGCTGTTATGGATTCGGCCAGACCTACAACGGGGCGGTGGGATAGTGAGGGACGGACTCCGACACATCTGGACGGATCATACTCGAAAATTCTTGGTGTTTTTCACCTCTTCGGATTCAATCTGGGCTACGATTGAATCCGCTGAGCGATGGACGGCTACGTTAAAAATTTTCTTATTTAGCCTCTTATTTTTCATATATCATTTCTCTTAAATGGTTTTTATTTTCATGTTTTTACAAATTTCACAGTTTCAACGCGTATCAGCCATTGATCTGCCGCGACTATAGCTAAATGAAAGAGTATCGTGGTTCAATTTTAATTAAAGGAACGAAATTAATTTTAAGTTCAATAATTTACTTAAAAACTACTTCTCTAAATAACTAAAAACGGAAAAAAATTTAGTATATTATTTGATAGATAGTTTAGCTTATGTGCGATTTAATTTTTAATATTCTTAAAAAATGTTTTCCAGTTACACAAGGTGATATTGCAATGTTGACAATATAAAAATGACGGGAACTTGCACGAAATTGGGCTATATGGCTGGTGATCTAATACAGACATTACTTGCGAAAGAACTTTCTTACTGATGTCAGATTGATATTGATATTTCTTCTTACAACAAGACAAACAAAACAGATCATTACTCAAGATATGGCTGAATATATGCTTTCTAATGGTATCCTTCTTCTCGTCTTGCTTATTGCAAAGAGCACATTTATATAATATCGTTGCTGAGAGCTTATTTTTTTCTATGACACATTCGTGTCTTAGTAAATCAACTAGCTGAATATCCGCTTCAGAGAATACTACGTCACACAGTCCACAATGTACCGGAATGATTTCAACTTCACCAAAATTAAATTTAACTCTCATTTCCTCTATTTTTTCTGTACTGAAAGGCTTTGTTAATACAATACCCACTTCTGTCAAAAACTGATTTTTACTTTTATGATTTCTAAAATAGAAAAAAGTCGATACACCCGGATATTGATTTAAAAGCACTAACTGAACGTTTTCAAGAGCTTCTATTATCGGAATTTGATCTGAAAATAACGAAACTTCAGATGATGAAAACGCCGATTCTCTCTTTGCCTGTAACATAATTGATATACTTGGACGATGAATTGGAACTATTGATGTGCCAGGTAGAGAAGGACCAAGTAATTTCTGAATGTTAATGAGTTTTTGGATTCTTTTCAATCCCGAGAATTCGTGCACGGATTCTTCCTCAAAATGTGGCTTATTTACGATTTTACTCGTCCAAATTTCATCTGTTTATAATTGTTTAGTGACAGAAATGCATTAATTAAATTAAACAGAACTCATTTGATCTGCGATTTTTAAACAGTGCTAAGAATAGTATTATTACGTACCATTATTTTCAGGAATGGTTAAAGAGCGTTCAATTTTTTCAGTTTTTTTTACTGAAGGTTTCTTCCTATTTCTGTTTGAAGATTTTTTGAGTTTAGAGAAGTACATTGTTTCCTTTAGATTTAAAACAAGTAAATAAATATGTACACATTTTACTAAACCTCAAATAATATTCAGTACTTTTATCTTATTTCGTGTCTTGCAAACAATCGATACAATATTTTGTTGGCGATAAATTATATTGTTGCAGATTTTTATTAGTACGAAAGATTTCATTATTAATTTTTGTTTTTTTTTCTTTTAGTATTTTAAATCTTTCCATCTCGTAGGCATTACGATGATCCGTTTCAAAAATCACCATGGATTTGGCCGAACAGTGAGAGATGGAATCCGACATGTCCAGTACTAATTGCCCATTAAAATATCATAAAAAATTATTAATCGGCTTATTACTTCAAATTTTTAATGGAATTATTAAGTTTTCGGGGATTTTTAATTAAAAAATCATTTTTCCGCTTCAAATTCCCGAATCTTTTCGAATCTCAGAAATTTCAAGAAAAATATCCCAGAACAGCATAAATATTGAAATTATGTTACTTCACCTTTATTTAAAGTATAATTTCTTAAGTTCCACAAATTAATAATACAGTACCAGATAAAAGCAAATTCACAAAAACAGTTCTAAAATTTTTAATTTAGGTGCTGTGCTTGAAAATGGCAGAATTTTGAAATCGCCATCGATTTTGGTGCATTCTAATTAATTGAGTAAAATAATACATTTTATCATAATTACAGAAAATTTAATTAAAACCTTTTATAAAAAAAAACTTTTATGTATGATATTACAGTAAAACCTGTCCAAAACGGAAACCTTCATAAACGGAAAAAAATTTTCGGGAAGAAGCAAAATCCCCTAATCAAAACTGGAACTCTCCAAACGGGAAAAATATTCTATACCCGTGCGATTCCGGTTTACGCAGGTTTTAGTGTATTAATTGTCAAAAATGTTTCCTACCAGTGGCCAAGTGTTTAAAAACGTAAATGCGGAGCTGCCACGACTCATAAAAAAAGAGAAAAGCCCTTTAAATGACGAGAAACAATATATGCGTGTGAGATACCGGGCTATTATTTATAGATTTTAATATTAGAATTTTATTGAAAAGCTTAGCAAAAACAAAAAGTTTGGAAAATCAACGAGAAGTTCGCGAGATTATACAGTATTCCTTGATAACGCTTCCTTTCGAAATGATATATCTTCCTGGAACAACTACTCACCCAAAGAAGTAGAGGAAATCTGGGATTGGACGATAATCGCACTTTCTATCCGGTTTTACCAAATTTGGGTATGTCAGAATTTGTGGGAAAGTGACGAAAGCAAAATTTGAAGAAGAGTGAGCCGAGTTCAAGTAAGAGTTCGAACAGACATCGAATTCGTCCTCCCTCGTACTAAGGATTATCTTTCAAGAATTTACCTTCCATGAGGACTTTAATTAATCAAGAACACACAGGTATTTATCGAAACTCGATCAGTTTGTAAACTCCCTCTTTGCGGAAGTCGGCGCGTGTAAATTAGAATAGCATAAAATAGATAGCCTCTGGATAATATAGATTCTAGATGAAATTTCTACTATTGTTAATATGTAGTAATATTTGCTTATTTCGAATCCGAACGGGTCGAAAAATCCTCAGGAATTTTCCGGGGGGGTGGTCCGTTCGGATATGTCGGGCCCCGTCCCTCACCACCCGGCAGCCCCATTGTGGGCCTGGCCGAACCCATAATGGGCTTGCAAAAAGAGGCCCTCTTAGTGCCCACAGGGCGGAAAGAGTTTTAAAAAAAATATTTGCTTATTCTTAAAATAAATCTTTGTTGCTTTGTTATTAATTGCTCTGTAGAGTGAATCACTTTCGGGTTTATGTTTCTTCTATCTCTCCTGCATTGGCTTACCAAGGAGCGTTAGCATACCCCAAAGTAAAAGGAAAAGAAGCACTAGTAAACTTTAAAAATTTTTATGGGGAATTTTCGACCTGTTCGGATCCAATCCCGAGTCCTCAGAGCGGTAGGCTGCCATCTTAACTCAGCCTTAGTTCGTGTGCTGGATTATGAAAGTGTTCTTTTATCGTAATTCTTAATTTTTAAAGTAATAAATACTACAAACCATCTTTATATAGTAATATTAAATTAGCTTTATTTTATGTATTTTACAATTATTTAAGTATCACGTTAACAATAGGTAGCGCTTTCCGCAATCGCTTGCCAGTTAGCGAACTCGTCGGCGGGACGCTAAAGCCTCGAAGTAGGCGTCCAACTTCCCACATTAATAAGAATAAGTTAGCGAATTTTGGAGCGCTAAGCTTTAATAAAGTCTCCAAGTGTATTTCAGGTAACATTGATAATACCTTTCTTTCTGTTAAAGTTTACATTTAAGAGAACAATCGTTAATTAAGAACGGAAAACGATTGGGAAATCCTGAATTAGAAAACGTCAAAATTCTCCATTTATATGTGGATAAGCACGCTTTTATTGTGTACTACGAAATTAAATTTGTAATCTTATTTCGCATAAGGTTAATATTTTAACAATACCAGCAACAAAATATACGGCTAATTCCTTCCCCCCAACGAACTCTTCCACGCGTCGCCATCTTTGAAAACTGCTTCGACCAGCGCGGGAAGGGAAACGAGACATTTCAGTTTTCAATACGAGTGTTGAAAGCAACAATTTGACGTCATCAACAATGTTCCAACTTCGAGTACGAAGTGCTTAGTTTCCATAATACCATTATCATTAAGATGGATTCAAATGTCGTACCAATTATCCGCAATTCATTGGAAAGTAGCAGTCAACATATGGGCGTATTCAAAATATCAGCATCGATCCAGCAAGATGCTGCCGGAAATGACGCAACTGTTGGCGTTTTCTAGAGCAGTGTTTTTCAACCTGTGGGTCGCGACCCCCAGGGGGGGTCGTAAAGCCTTACACGGGGGGGTCGCGGGTAAAAGAAAAAGACAAGTGTTTGTAGGTCCTACACTATAATAAAAAAAACTACAATCTCAGTGGGAAGGCTGTGTCTGTTTATTTACAGTACAATTGGTTTTTTGATCGATATTTAGGTCTCAACGGAAAGAAACTTAAATATGTAGTTTTTAAAATCACTGACATAGTTTTAATATGGCCCTGGGGGGGTCGCCAGAATGTTTTTACCTTGTAAAGGGGTTGCTTATTCAAGAAGATTTAAAAACACTGTTCTAGACTGCTGGGAATTTAGGGAAAGAAAAACAATAAAAATGGCAAATGATGTGGACTTCCACGTTATGTTAAATGATTTTTGAGCTTTAATTAGAACAGATTAATGAAAAATAAAAATTTCAAAAAGAGAAATAGAAATAAAGATATTTTAAATTTCCGTAGGAGTTTTAAATAATTAAACCAATCCTAAGATTACACTTTAACAACTAAAAAAAATTGGGATGTCTTAGGTAAAAATACTAGTGTATTAAAATATTCTATTAATGTACTAACTAAATATTAATTTATTTGGGGTTTATTCATTGACAAGTAAATTAAATTCAAAATTGTCAACCCAAAATAGAGCTTTTAAGAGCCTTATGGTGGCTGCCATCTTGTTTGCTAGCTTATCCAGCACCAAAAAAAAAGACACTTACAGTTTGCTGAAAGCAATTTGAGATTTTGAACAGGTGCTGAGATTTTGAATATGCTCTTTCTATTGAGTGCCGAGTGCATTGAGTCAGCGCTTACTACAGCACCATTTTAATGTTGAAAAAAGGGATGACTTTTAATGAACATTGAGATCAGTACTGAGTGGGTTACTCATTTCTCGGTCTTTTGCTTATTCCGGGATAAAAGTGAACTGTTTTCTGGGATAGAATTAATTATTTTTAAGATATACAAAATATCATGAAATCAAATAATATAATTATTTTTCTTTTTTTTCAAGTAATTTAATATGTTCTGCAACCTCCAAAATCATGTTAACAATGTCGTACAAGATATATATTAAAAAATTACCTTTGAATTACGTAGAAATTTTCATAAATAAAATATTTATTAAAGTTTGTTGCAAACTGCTTACAACAACAACAAACAAAAATGCCTTTGAATTGAGTTGAAAATTTAAAGAAGAAAATAAACTTAGATCAAACTTCTAACTTAGAAGGTAATTTTCGTTATTTAAATAAAACATAATACAAAATATTATTGTAAATTTTTATAAGAAGATTATAAAAAGCAAAGATGGTCAATACTCCGATCACAAAAAAAAATAGAAACTACAGTAGAACCTCGATTATCCGCCCCCCGATCAACCGACCCCTCGGTTAACCGACCGTCCTAGTCGGCAAATTTCAAATGTCCGCTAGTGATGTGGCGCTACAATAGCGACAATTATTATTTAAAAAAATTTTTGTTAGGCTTAACATCGATGAAAATTCAATGCAAAATAGGTTAATAGCAATATACTAATTACATGGGATATAATAATATATTACACTAATAATGGATTTTTTCATACTTTTCGGTTATCTGACTTTTCAATTATCCGACCAACCCCAGTCCCCAATTAGAGCGGATAATCGAGGTTCTACTGTAATAATAAATAGGTTTAAAACTAATAAATACAAATATATTCTGACAGTTTATGAGTTGGTTATACTTTCTATTTGCAAAATTTCCTCAACCTTAACACAAAATAAGAAAAAAGTGAACTTTTAACAAATTTGTGTGTTAAAAAAACAACCGGGATCCCATTTGAGAAATCCTAGCACTAAGTCAGCATTGAAAATTGGAATGTCTCATAAGGTAAATGAGAGGATGCACTTTTTTCACACAAATGGCAATGGGCGTGTCTTGTAAATGATTTAACTTATTGCAGCATTATCTGTCAATCATGTCAAAAACTTAATAATGAGAGTGTTTTACCATTATAAGTAAACATAACAAATATTAAAAATAATTTTATATAATATTTTTCAATTAAATCAAGGCTGGCGGTTGGCAAAACTTTATTGTAATAAAGTTTTGCCAACCGCCAGCCTTGATTTGGAACTAGATAGCCTGATAGTCCGCAAATGCATGTATACCGTCGTAGCACCTGGCTAATAAAACGGGTCTTTCGTACTGACCACATTAGGGTCCTGGAGTCCCTAGAAATATACAAGTCTGGCCCAACGGTCAAGTGACAATTTTAAGGACAGTAAAGCATTATCCTATGCCTGGCATTGTGTGTGTGAAGGGCATGGTAACGAGAATGCTTGTTAAATTCATATTATTTGCTATCATGCTGGATTCTTAAATAATAAGCTCACAAGAATTGCCTTATATGTATATGTTGAATTTGTGTGCTTGCAAATGTTGAGTCTCTCTGTATATATTCCAAATATTTTAAATTTAATATTTAAAATCTTTCTATTCAACGCATTCCAACATTGGAATTTGTTGTTTCTATAACGTAAAGCAGACCTTGGAGAAGATTGAGAGTGTTTGCTACACGATTTATTAAATGTTTTTATTACCAGAGTAAAGGTTCTTTAATAATGCTATTGCCTGATATTTCAATGTTAACTCACTTATAATTAAAACTTTTAAAAATCGGGCAAATTTATGGAACAAAAATTATTGAAATTACTAAAAAATTAGAAGTTGATTATTTTCTGTGAGAAACAATGATAAAACAATTTCTATAGTTATGTTGCAAAAGATGAGTTGTAATTAGTTAAAAAATTGAAATTAAGGGTTCAAAAAATGAAGGCAAAATTAAATAAATAAAATTATTAAAAATAATAATTAAATTTAAAACTAATAAAATAATAATTAAAATCCTGCCTTTATACTAAAATCAAAACTAAAAATAAAATTGAATCAATTGAAAATTAGAACATTGTTATTCTAAACCGTTTAAAAGTTGTTTTGAAAGTTTCAAATTTATGTTGTGCACGGTGGTGACTGGTGACGGAACATTTTGCTTTTAGTATACTGTATGGATTGTTGGTCGAGGGCCAGATGGCAACCCTAAAGTCGCCCTATCTTCCCTAAAACAATTAGTACTAACTGAGTGCAATCTCTTGTTGCTCTGGCTGACAAAAGAAAAGTCCACACAACCAACATTGCCTTGTGTATGGGGCATCGCATACGCTCTGCTTTGTTGATGTAAAAGTTTCCAATAAACTAATATTTAATTTTTAATTAAAAAGTTTTTAAATTACAATATCTTTGAAACAAAAATTAATTTTCTTATAAAATATCAAAACACTNAATGAAGGCAAAATTAAATAAATAAAATTATTAAAAATAATAATTAAATTTAAAACTAATAAAATAATAATTAAAATCCTGCCTTTATACTAAAATCAAAACTAAAAATAAAATTGAATCAATTGAAAATTAGAACATTGTTATTCTAAACCGTTTAAAAGTTGTTTTGAAAGTTTCAAATTTATGTTGTGCACGGTGGTGACTGGTGACGGAACATTTTGCTTTTAGTATACTGTATGGATTGTTGGTCGAGGGCCAGATGGCAACCCTAAAGTCGCCCTATCTTCCCTAAAACAATTAGTACTAACTGAGTGCAATCTCTTGTTGCTCTGGCTGACAAAAGAAAAGTCCACACAACCAACATTGCCTTGTGTATGGGGCATCGCATACGCTCTGCTTTGTTGATGTAAAAGTTTCCAATAAACTAATATTTAATTTTTAATTTAGTAATTTAAAAATTTTTAACTTTTGAAACAAAAATTAATTTTCTTATAAAATATGGAAGAATCTAAAATCGTGATGAGAATTTCTCAGTTCTGATTTTTATACTTGGAAAATGTTCAATTCCAATTAATAGTCCCATCACTAATTGTATGGACTCGTTTCTGTGTTTGGCAGCTAAGTAAGCAAGCCAATGACGTAGTTTGTTTTGTATGAAACTATCTGTCATTGGTTAGCTTATTTAGCTGTTTGATAAGGAAACTTACCCTATAATTGTATTTTTTGCCAACGTTTTTACCACATTCTTCAATTTTCTTCTATTGTCGTCATTTATAAAAAATTCATTTGTCTGTTCAGCCGATTGTTCAGAGTTATCCTGAGTATCTTTATAACAGGTTGTGAACTTATGGCACAAGTGCCCACAGTGGCATGTAAGGAGAAATCATTGTCATGTAATGTATTTTACAATAAGTTATCTGTGTTTTTAATCATACTTTTTTTCAATTGACTTTTTACATTTATTCCAGGCCTGGCCAACCCAAATTGTTTCGCGGACCACTTTGATCACATGTAACATTACGGTGGGCCACAATTTAGGCAAACATGCTTTTAAAGAAGTAAAACAAATACAAAATGAATAAGATTTTATTGTTATATCAAGAGTTTGTACTCGCACTTGTGCATTATAACAATGACACATGCAAATTTTTATTTATTTAATTGTTTTGGTATACACATAATGGGAACAAAAGTTTTAATACATATATAATATTGCTTAGCGGACCACACAATTTAACGTGACGGGCTGTGGGTTGGCCAGGCCTGATTTATTCTAATTAAAGGATATTTGTTAAATTTCTTTAAATATTGTTATTCGAAGTTGGCATGCATAAATATCTTTAAAGCTGAATATGCTAACTATACGGTATGTGGGCTCAAAAAGGTTCACCATTCCTGTTCTATAATTTCATGCTTTTCTGACTTGGTCTTGGTGTCATAATTAGTCTCTTATAGCTTTTCTCTTTTTTCCTATTAATTTTTTTACAACTTGTTCACAACTTTATTATATTTTTCACTTTAAAAAATATTTTCCTCGTAATGAATAACAATGTATTACTTTCTGATGCTACAGTTTTTATAAGACTGTCAATTTGCTCTTGAATTAATTCTACAAATAATTAATTTTGTTATTATGCATTGTTTTTATTTTTAAGCCTACTTAACATACCTTGATTAGCTTTTACAATATTATTTCTTTGATGCAAATCTAACCAATTATAACCTTGGTTTTAACTAATGTTATTATTGGTTAGATTTGCATTTGATTTTATTTTGCATACATTTTTATTTACTTTTTGTTTATTTTTGTTGTTGTTTGATTCTTATTCGATGATGATAATTTAATTGTATATATTTATTTAATAAATTATTTGATAATATAAGTTAATTATTTTTATAATAAAGTTTTTATTACATTTTTAGTTCATTTTATTTTTATACTTTCCTAAAAATATATTATATGTATTATATTCACGATGTAAAATCTTAATGCGATTTTGTTATCTTAATGTTACATTTGCTTTTCATGAACATTGTTTATTAAATAAGTTTTGTCTGTTATACTTCAGATGAGCATTATGTACTTTTTTGGAGTTTCCTCTGTTTTTCGTATAAAAAAAAATTGGAGTTTTTTCTGTTCCTTTTGGAGTTTCCTCTGTTTTTTTTGTATAAAAAAAATTATCCTTGCATATACAAGAAATTGAATATAACATATTAATTTTCCCATGTACAGTACATTGTTATTTTTATTGATCACTGTTTTATTATTTATTATTTTGCTTTGTAATTTTTTGTATGTAGGAGCAAATTTCATGTTAAACTTATTACATATTATATCTAATTTCTCAGATATTCTTGTATGAATGGTAACTGTCAAACCTCAGTTTTTGAACGTAATTCATTCATAAAATTTGTTTTAGTTTAACAACAAATTTTATGAAATTCATTCATAAAATTATTCGTAATTCATCCATAAAATTTGTTCTGAAACCAAAACAAATTTTATGATGAGAAACAATATAAAATGGATTAAAACCATTTTATATTGGTTATTACTAGTGTTGCAACGAATACTGTATTCGGCCTCAGGCTGAATACACTATTCATTGCAGAATAGAATATTCAGCCAAGAGTGTGGCCAAGTACTGAAAATTCGGCCAAACTATTCGGCTTGATTAACGCACATACGAAAATTGGCACGCAAACCTCATTATGGCAAGGTGACCCTGCTCTCTATTGGCCTGCTGTCACTATGCTTCGCCAATCGCATTAATTCTTGACAGTTATAGCAGACAGACAAGTGTGTCATGGCAGTATGTGATAAATGATGATATCAAATGTGGATAACAATGAAATGACCTACATGTGTAAATAATGGAAAAAGAACAGAGAAGGACCGTGAAGTGAAAATAAATATGAAATTGAGTTGATAACATAATCGAACAAGTTGAGGCAGCTTATTGGCGCGAAATTCGCGGCCGTCAATGCCAAACAATTGTTGTCATAGACTTCGGAAAGCTAAATGCTTGTAATGAAAGTCACTTAGCGTGCACGGGCAAAAGCCTGGGGCCGTTCGGGCTAACAAGCTGTTTCGAATCTGTGAAATCATAATTGTGACTTATACCAACATCCTAGCTGTCTCTTTTCTCTGTTATCACCAGGCTATGAGTCACGTAATTGTAAAATGGAAAATCTACAACAGAAAAGTGACGAATTGAAAGTATTGTGAGTGCGTACTATGATGTATGCATAAGCATACATGGACTAGAGCAATAGAGGAAAGAGAAAGGGAAGAGCAGAGACGAGCGCTTGAAAAGATGGATAGGCAGGGTCACACTCTCAGATGTGCAACAATTCTCGAACGAATAGGTGTGTACGTGTGCTGATCTTTGTAATTATAAATTGTGAATACATGTGACTAATATTATTTTATTTTTTATTTTGTGCATGTTATAAGTTATAAATAAATATAAACAAACAACGCTAACCCGATAACATTAAATGTAAATACCAAAATGATTAATTTACTGTGTTTTTGTTATTTCTCATTCCTGTTGTTAGGTATTTGGTATTCGGCCAAATAGTGATTTAAATATTTGGTACAGTATTAGGCTGAATACCGAAAAATAGGTCGAATACTGAATAGTAACCGAATATTTGTTACATCTAGTTACTACCTGACCTCCAAAAAAAACAGTCTTTTTTGTTTTTGTACAAAAATATATTACCTTGATATTCACCCAGCTGATTTTTCAGAAAAAAAAGAATGTTTCAGTCTGCTAAGACCTGCTTCAGATGAAAAAATTTTTGAACAGATAGATCTTCTAATGTTTCACTGTTCTAATATGTTGAATGCAGAAGAGCTTACATGTAAATTCAAAATTAAAATTTTTAGAATTGATCAATAGGATTCGTCCAAGCGTTAAAGTTTTTAAACTGTTTTTCATGATGACATGTATTGTGAAAGGATTAGTGATGATTACATAGATGAACTGCAAGAGTGGGTCTGCAGATTTACATGTACACTGTTAACCAAACAACTCAAATTAGATAAAGAAGTAATAGTCAGCAGATATTAGAGAGGTTATTGTGCAAGTACAAACGTTACTTGTACACAGCAAGCAGAAGTACTCAGTTTACATTTTAACTCCAAGAAAAAATCATTGCGGCGCAGGTTGACAACATCACATGACTCAGTGAACATCGCGCATTGACTCATGGGAAATTTGTTGAAAAAATGGCAGATACATTTAACATTGAGGGTTACCAGCAAAGGTAAATAAACAAATTAAACTATCTTAAAGTATTTATAGGAATAACACTAAACAAGTAAAACAGCAACTGTATTTGGGACAAGACTGTCTTGGAGACTTACTACTAAGTGGAATCATTTTGACGCTCAAGATGGATCTTGTTCTCATTCTCCAATCTTCTTTGGTATTGCTGCTTTTGGGTGCAATCGTTCAAACTTTGCCGGCCATAACCACGAGGTGCATTTTCAATGAAATTAACCTATCCAATTTCGAAATTTCTCTCCATTGTGTGTCAGCCCAGGTTGAATTTTTGTCGATGTGTAATGAAAATTTTTTGTTTTTGAAAAAAGTAATCAAGGCTATTGTATCATCTGAAATTATTTTTTCATTTTGCACAAACGATATACAGTTTAACCTGATTATAACATCATCGGATCTAATGACAAACCTAATATAACGTCAAATTTTTATCAGTTCCGTGATTTTACTATTTGCGTTTTTCACCAAATGCTCGCCCTCTGGTGTTTAAAAACAAAACTACTCTATCTGGGTCGTTTGAATGTTCTTTGTATATTGTCAACAGTAAAGATGAATAGTAAAAGTAAAGTTTTCTGTTGTGTTCCAAATTGTAATTCCAAAGCCATACATGATCCCGATATAAGTTTTCATGTATTCCCACATGAAAAACAGATGATTTTTCATAAATCAGAATTTGGAGAATCTCAGAAATGTAACTGACGGAAAGAGTGGATTCGACTGCTAAGAATTGGCAAAAAAGTTACGAAATATATGGTAGTATGTTCGAAACATTTTACTCCTGAAGATTATATTTTGTCATGTATGCTATCATGTTTTTATAAATATGGTTAGATTATTGTAATACGATAGTATTAAAAAATCAAACTGAAAAAGATTGCATAGAGTCTAAATATAAAGAAATTTAGTATTTGTATTCGTTTTTAACTTATACTATAGGATTATCTTCAATAAAATGTAATTCTATTCAAATTGTGAAATAATTCTTATTTAAACTTTAGCATATGCATGTAAAAGAAGACAAAGAAAACTGTCGTACCAAGTTTACTTTTACCGGAGAGCAGTATTTGTACAAAAACATGTTCTAAAAGAATTAAAAGAAATAAGTTTTCAGAAAAAACGTATTAGACAGAAGAAACTTCCCATACAATTGAGTCAGAAATTAATGATAGAGAAGCTGCTGAAACACTTTTAATGTTATGCAATTCTAATTATGATAAAAATTTAAAATGTCACAGATCAGTTGGCATACAAATATCCACTGCAGAATTTTTGGTAAATATACGTAATTTCATTAAGACAGAATCCCAACTAAATTCCATTACTGGTATACCAACTTTTGAACTATTTAATGCTATTGTTAAACTTTTTAGTGATGTATGTAAAACAAAACAAANTGGCATACAAATATCCACTGCAGAATTTTTGGTAAATATACGTAATTTCATTAAGACAGAATCCCAACTAAATTCCATTACTGGTATACCAACTTTTGAACTATTTAATGCTATTGTTAAACTTTTTAGTGATGTATGTAAAACAAAACAAATCAGTAATACTAATTTTATTTTTGAAGATAAACTTTTTATGGTCCTATCAAATTGAAATTAAATGAACCTCAATGAACGAACACTCCTTATCAACTAATAAAGGAATTTGATGGAAAATTTGCCATGTGTCTTTGGAATAAACACAATACTAGTGTTTATTACGCCACAAATATAAAACAGGACACGGTTTCAAAAAGAAAATCAACAAATCTACAGAAACTAGAAATGGCAAGACTCATCAAACAAAAATGCAAAGAAGCCAACACCAAGATCACAGAAAGGAAGAGAAATTTCTTTTTCTGTTATATCCATATTTTTTCATTGTTCTGTACCAACTGCAAGTAGAATATTTTACCCAAGTGTGAAAATTCTTGCTTCCGTACTTAAGTGTGCAATTGTTTGGCCATCAAAAACAGATATTTTAGAAAATATGCCTAAATGTTTCGACAAGTTTTGTAATGTAAGAATAATTTTGGACTGCTCAGAAATTAGAGTGCAGAGACCAAAGTGTTTAAAGTGTCAAATACGTTGCTACTCACACTATAAAGGTGACACACCTATAAAATTTTTAATAGGTGTTTCACCAGGTGGAATTGCAACATTTTTAAGTAGTGCATATGGAGGCAGAACTTCTGATAAGGCAATCTTTGAACAGAGTGATATCTTAAATTTATTAACACCTTATAGTGACTCAGTGATGGTTGATAAAGGCTTTTTAATTGATAAACTTTGTTTAGAAAAAGGAATAGAAGTAATTCAACCACCATTTTTGAAAAAAAAATAAACAACTAAATAAATGTGAAGCACAGAACAAATGATATTGCATGTGCCAGAGTGCACATTGAAAGATTTATTCAGCGAATTAAACAGTTTCAGATATTTCCAGCAAGACTTCCGTAGAAAATGACTTTTATTATTGATGAACTTTTAATCATTGCAACAGCTGTAGGGAATCTTCCCTCTCCTATACTGTCAGATGACAAATTTTAATTCAAAATTACCATATTGTAAATAAAAATTATTTTAATAATTGTGTAATTGTTTATATTTTTAATACATCATCACACACAATATTTTTTTACAATTTTCATTTAATAAAAAGATATTTACAACAAGATAATCTTTCAATATTTAAAACATCCATATCAAACAAGCATTATGAATTAGAAAGAAAAAAATTTTTTAAATGTTTATATTTACAATATTTATACACTTTTATTGTATACACTACTCATTTTATTAGTAACAAAAAATAGAAGCATTTTATTAAAATATATTTCTTTTAATATTGAAATAAATTTATTTAAAAATTCATCATCTTTTTTTACTTCAAAAGAAATAAATGAATTATCAAATGATGAATATATAACAAAATCACACACTGGCAAATTAGTTATTAGTAACCCTAGCTGAACCTGACCATAATATTTATGTCTCTTAATTCAACATTTTCACCATTAATGGTAATAAATTTCAATGCATTCTTAAGAATTAAGGCTTGGATAGGTTCATTCCTTCCCTTTACTGGACACTTTATTTCTAAAAGAGAAGTTGGAATATTTTGTTTTATTATTAATCCATCAGGAGTATATCCTAACCATGGCAAAGCTGGTGAAATAATCAGGCCGAATTCTACAATTCTCTTGCCAGAATGTGAAGAATACAATTCTCTTGCATCATTTTCATGCAAGAGGCCATATGCTGTATTTTCATTTCCCTCAAAAATATTGTTTTGAAAATTTTTCATTCCAATTTGGATTAAAATTGAAATGATATGTATAAAAATTATAGCATATACTGCCTGTAATTCTTTTGTTCCTCTCATTCTTCCCTAATATTTTATTTACTTTGCTTTCTAGACATATTCTTTTACATTCTTCATTAGTGACCATAACTTTATTTTTATAACAACAAATCAAACTTTTTGGCAAATCTTCTAAACCAATATTTTTAAAAGTTAATATAATTAAAAACTCCAATTGTACTAAAATTTTGAATGTGGGAGAAAATAGCATTGACATTGACATCATTATTCTGATCAACTCTGTTGATCTCTCTATTTATTTCTGATAAAGATGCAAGGCTTTTCCATCCTTTCCTTTATAACAACAAATCAAACTTTTTGGCAAATCTTCTAAACCAATATTTTTAAAAGTTAATACAATTAAAAACTTCAATTGTACTAAAATTTTGAATGTGGGAGAAAATAGCATAGACTTTGACATCATTATTCTGATTAACTCTGTAGATCTCTCTCTTTATTTCTGATAAAGATGCAAAGCTTTTTTGTCTTTTCCTACAATAATAATAATAATAAATGTTGGGGCAATGATGAGGTAATCCTTTAACTTATAACTGAACTTTATTTTAATCTAAGGCTCTATATATATATATACTTGTTAATACATCCATAACTTTTGCGCCAATAGAACAACAGCTTTTTTCCTGCCTCAGGCTGTCTTAGCAGAGTGTTGTTAGTCTATGTGCAGTTTTACGACATTGATACTCGCTTCAGTTTCGCATTCCCAACAATAAACTTTATATAATATATACCAACCATTTCATATAATTAAAAATTAAAACAGATAAAACTTGCATATGTTTTGTTAGTGAAGAATTTGGTGTAGCTTCTGTTAAAATGTTTAAGTACTTTTCAGAATTAATATTTAAAGCTATTTTGCTAATATTAGATCCAGTATGGCACAATTTTTTATTGGAATTATTTCATAATTAGATTGGACATTTTCTTTTAATCATTTCCAAGAACATTCCAAGTCTGTGTTAGATAATTTTGAAGACTATGTTATTTCTAAAGATAATGATAATTCATTATTAATTAAGCAACTATCCAAACTTTTTTCATATATTAATTTCTATAATTGAATAAATTCTTTATAATTATAGTTATTTATTTATTATTACAAAAAAAAGACAAAACGATAAAAAAAACAAGTGGAAAGAATTTAGCATACTAACTAAAGTGTAAAAAATTGATAGATTAAGATATAAATATTACAAAATCTTAAAAAAACATAATTAATTAACCTTCAATACTAATTAGCTATTTATATTACACTAAAATACATATTGTGTTGTAGAAAAGAAAACAAGCTTACCTGTAAAGATACAATAATACTGCTAAGAAATGTTTGTATTTTTCCGATTTTTCAGCTTTACAGGAACAAGTTATGCTGATAAATTTTAAATTTTCAGTAATTTTGTGTGGGATAGATGTCAATGCTGATGTTTGTAGACAAAGAGCACAAAAATGTACAGAACGATCCTGCTCATTTTTCTCGATAATACCACATAAAATGACGTGTCCTGCTAGTAATAATTGTTATGCTATAAAATTTTTTGATGAACTGCTACAAGTGGCATATTTCATTATTTCAGATAGTAATATATAATTCATTTTACATTGACTAGTCACAAGCGACCCAGATAGGGTAGCCGTTTTGTAAAAATACAGCACCCTCTATAGTTTGTGAAAAATGTGAATAAGAAGGCATAGAAGTTAATTTGCAATAGGTTTGACAATTAAGCAAAAGCAGTTATGGCAACACTAGACAAATTATTTGCTCATCCTAATTTGACTCAACAGCCGGTAAATGGTGTAAGAGAATCATTGGATGTTATAACTCACTTTCTCGACGCATTAGAAATCCTAAAGCAACCATAAGTACAGTGACAAACTATTTTAGTATACTTTCTGTGAAAGAAACTCGATTTGGAAACACTGTCAGTTTATCTTAGGTTTGGAAAAGGGAGAATTACCGACTTTTAAATTGTTCACTCAAGTTTCAGCCACAGCACACAAATATATGCTCTGCAACAAGATCAGCAGTACTAAGCGGAACTAATGATTATTACTCGAAGCCGAAGGTAAAATCGAGTCTGGTCTGGCTTCCAGACATTGTTCAATATCTAATGCATGTGTATTTTTCAAATTAGTGTCATGTTCAATGTATCAGTGTTCTTCAAAGACACAATTTATATGCAACCACCAATGTACCTAAAGGAGGCTTGCAAATTTGGCCCCAAGTTCGTGCCACGCCCTAAGCTTACATATGAAAAAATTATCCCTGATGTTGAGCAAGCAGTAGAAGGGCTTAGCAAGCTTAAAAAAGAGGCTTTTAGATGAAGAACAGTTTTTAAAATAAACAATGATGTTGCAAGATCAACCCANCGTAATTAGAATGGACATTTTCTTTTAATCTGTTCCAAGAAAACAGATAAAACTTACATATGTTTTGTTAGTAAAGAATTTGGTGTAGCTTCTGTTAAAATGTTTAAGCATTTTTCAGGATCAATATTTAAAGCTAGTCTGCTAATATTAGATCCAGTATGGCAAAATTTCTTTATTGGTATTATTTCGTAATTAGAATGGACATTTTCTTTTTATCTGTTCCAAGAACATTCCCAAGTCTGTCTTAGATAATTTCTCAAGTCCTTCTATGTTATTTCTAAAGATAATGATAATTCATTATTAATTAAGCAACTACCCAAACTTTTTTCATATATTAATTTCTATAATTAAATAAATTCATCATAATTTTAGTTATTTATTTATTGTTACAAAAATGAGGTAAAACAATAAAAAAGCAAGTGGAAAGAATTTAGCATAATAACTAAAATGTAAAGAATTGCTAGATTAAGATATATTGAATCTAGAAGTAAATATAAACATTATTAAATCTTAAAAAAACCTAATTAATTAACCTTCAATACTAATTAGCTACTTATATTAAACTAAAATATGTATCGTGTTGTAGAAAAAAAACAAGCTTACCTGTTAAGATACAGTAATACTGCCAAGCAATGTTTGCATTTTCCCG